TTGCAGTAATGAACCTTTTTTTAATCGATCAATAAAAAAGTTAATCCCCTTCAATTTTATTTTTATAAATCTTCTATTCCGATGGCGCCTTTTCATCTTTCTTTTCTTTTCTTTTTTCTGTTTGATTGATGATCACCACCCTACCGTATTAACTCCATCTTAAGGCTGGAGACAACATTTGACTTTAGTGTAGAGGTATTATGTTATTGAAGTTTAGTATGTCAGAAAGGATTACGCGATTTATGGAAACCGCTTAAGTGTCGTAATTCTGCACGCTAGTAATGGAGTACGTCATCAAGCAATTATTATGATTTCAACAGAGCGAAGATGTTAATGTCGTCTACCATTACAAAACAAGATCTAATAATACAAGATTTGTGAGAATCTTTAAGAAAACTATAGGCCCATTTGGCATAATTATATATGCCTGCATTTGGCTTGCAAAGTAAATTTACATTTGCGACAAATCTTGATAGTTAAGGGCAGGTGATCAACTTCACTCCCACTTTTATGTCATACTTTATGTTAAGTTCATGCAATGTGTTAAGGCCACATTCATTTATCTTTAGCCTTTAAATTTTATATTTGAAATGCGGGAGAACAGTAGCGCCATCTGCTGGGCATTGAGTTGCTAATTGATACAGGAGTCGATTCGATAATGTTAATTTAATCTTTGCTGTAAGGGACAATTCTTTAAAATTTCCAAATGTCAGAAGTAATGTAAGAGTAATCATAAAACATTGGTTTTCACAGTACCCTACAGCTCATTTCTTTCAACACCCAGCTGTACCAAAACAATGACATATGTTTGATAAAAGATGATGCCAATTTAGTCGAATTCCATTCGTTACTTCTTCTCACACACAGGCGGATTTACGGGGGGAGGGGCTTTCGGGCTGAAGCCCTCCCCAGAACGGTAAAATATAACCATGTTTTATAGAAAAAAAAATACAAAAAACTATCTCTTATAGTATTATTGTTCGTGTAATTACATTTAATATGACTTCAAGAATCGCTTAAATACCATTTGATATAGGTAGTACATTTCTTTTTTTTTTTTTAAATTAATTATAGTTATATATATGGAAAAAAATCTTTCGGGCTGAAGCCCCCCTCCTCAAAAAAAAAAATAAATAAATCCTGGATCCGCTATTCCAACACAAAGTTGGAAGAAAGTTATAAGATAAAGAAAAACTGATCACAATATGATATCAACTTTTATTGAATTCCATCAACTACTTTCGATAAATACTTTTTCTTAGGCATGCGCAAATCACTTCAGTCAAAAAAATGTGAATAATCGTTTTCGATGAAAAGAAGCTTAGAAAGGCAAGATGCGTGTTGAATGTAAGAACCACATTAGTCTGTTGAGTAGTTCCTTAAATACATGACGTCTTTTTCGATCGTTGAGCGCAGAAATAACATGAGTCACTGACTGACGGTTTCTACACCCACCGTTAGCGGCATATTTATATTCAAAATATAAATACGACTACCATTTATATTTACGGTACTTACGAATGTAAATGTAAATTTACAGAACTGAATAGAAATATTTCCACACAATCTTCTCAATGAAAACTCTTATTTATAAAAAAATATATATTTACTATATATACCATTTTATTTTTATATATAGTATTATATTGTTCGCTTTACAATAAGTTATTGTAATTATCACTGGTAGTGTTTGTACGTGATATAAATTCTTAACCCATTTTTTTTGTTGGATCCGTCGCCACATTAAATTGATCAAATTAAAATAAATTGTTAATTAAAAAATATAAACTTTTAATGAATGGTTACCTTTTTCCAAGTTTTCAACTGTTTGTAAAAAACACTTGGGTGCAGAAACAGCATAAGTCCGAATCAAATTTTAAATTTTCCTGAGCCTTATTTATGTCAAAATTAGGTAATTTTTGCATGACAGCAACATAAATGCATGTTATGACAGAGGAAAAAAAAGTTCAAATATTTGAAAATTTGGAGGAGTTATGACGTTTTTTCTCTCTCCTGACAAAAATTGAAATTTGAGACTAAAGTGGTTTCTGCACTCACCAATTCAATAAGAACCAATATAGTTAATTGTCCAGAATATGGCTGCGAACCTAGAGAAAGATAGACTAAAAAGTTATCTGTAGGGCAGGCCAGGCTATGAATGTTGTTAAATTATGGGATGGGTGATAGTCGATACTATAATGACTAAGTATCGTTAGTTCAGTAACTTCCTTAAGAAGTATTAATATAAACTGTATTCTTTAGTTATTTACTTTAAACTCCTGCTAAAGCTTCATAACAGTACCTAAAATTTATATGGATACATTCTTAAGAATAATTAAATGAACAAAAAATGTATTAATAGGAAAATGCATTTTCCATAGAAAAACAAATTAAGTTCATTTCCATTAATATCAAATTAAAACAAGAAATCCGACGATATATAGGATTGTTTTAACTATTTGGTAAAAAAAGGAGATAAACATTTGTATTTTAATTTCCAAGATTGTAATTTTTTAAATTTGATAATATTAGTTTAAAATATATTAAACTGTCCGGGTGTCAATTGTAGATTTTTTTTTTAATGAACTGCAAGTAAAAAGTAAGAAAATTATTTAAATCGTATTTTTTTTTTTTTTACTTTGAAATTTCTTGATCAATTTCTTATATTAATAGGAAAAGTTTTAATAACATGCCTTCAAACTTCAATCCATTTATTTTCTTAATGTTACGCTTCAAAACAGTTTTCCATCATCAAACATTTCACTTTTACATTATGTTATCACTTTGTCTCCTATATCAATAAATGGATAGAAACATGAACACCTGTTATTAAAATTATTTTTTGAGTAGGATGTAGACACCAAATATTGACACTTGTAACTTAAATTGGATAAAATAAGCGTTTAGGTTTATGTAGAATTTTCACCTTACGAGAAAAACTAATAGAAATACTAAAAAAATATATATTTACAAAATTAGAAGTAGATAGTGAGGATTTATAAGAAATTTAATAATTCTAAGTGGCAGTAGACCAGTTGTGAACATCAATGGCCAATTGTCAGAGGATTTTGAGGTGAAAGATTGGCTTAGCCAAGGAGATCCTTTATCCCATACTCTGTTGCAATAAGGGCGATTTGGACATGTCCTAGTGGCACAATTTATTACAGAATGACACAGCATCTGGCTTATGCTGATGATGTAATAACGGCATAAAATAAAACAGCATTAGCAGAATTCGAAACCGCAAGTAAAGAACTAGAGTTATAAATAAATAAACAAAAGACTGTTTACATGCAAACATCAAAAAAGCCAAGTGAAACAGTTGAACGCGTCACAATTAGTAACCACACCCTAAAAGTGGTCGATCATTTTAAATATTTGGGAGCACTAATTACTGAAAACAATGAAATGGTGGAAGAATTAAAAGCAAGGATGGCTGCCGAGAATAGGTCTTGTTTTGTTAAAAATATTAAATTACAGAACAAAGATTATGGTGTAGGCGAAAGTCATCAGACCCGTCGTCACCTATGGCTCTGAGATTTGGGTGATCTCCAAAGCATTGGGGAAAAGCCTACTTGCATGGGAGAGAAGGGTTCTCCGCAGCATCTATGGCGTGGTGTGCGAACAGGGACAATAGAGAATTTGCACTAATAAAGAGCTGTATGAGATATATGCGAGGCCAGACAATTGTGAAGGGAAATCAGATCAAATGGTTGGGCCATGTGGCACCTATGCTCTGAGACGCGATTCCCAAACGCTTGCTAGAAGATCGGCCAGCTGGAAAACGTGGAAGAGGAAGACCACGCCTGAGATGGCTGGACCAAGTAGAGGTCACCTTGAAAAGGATGGGAATTCAAAGATGGAGTATGCTCGCTCGGGATCGGGGAGAGTCGCAAAGAATCATAAGAGTCAAGAATAAATAAATAAAATAAAACTGTTAACTCATTGTGGTTGGAACTCGTAAAACGAGTTTTTTATTTTTGTAGATGAGCGGTTCCTATGTGGAATAGATGAGTGTAAGGCTAGTGGGGAATTAAGGCCCCCTTTTGAGTTCAGTTTACGGCACCAACATAGTACAGTACACGCCCTTGGGCAATCTTCCTTAAGAAGTTCTTTCTGATAAGTGAGTTAAACAAAGTGCTCTCGGGGAGGCAGTCCTCTCTCCTGACAAGAGATTAGTAGTATGTATAAACTTGGTCCTTATAATTTATACATTTCAGGATACCTTGAAGAGTTGTAGGCGGATTGACTCTAAGGAAAAAAAAGAGGCATAATGTATGACATTCCCAAATTGCATATGTTTTATCTTTGAGCCTGCTATAAGTCCTTAATCCAATTGACTTCTCTCTGGGCACCTGATATAGAACTTTGGTAACAAACTTAACATATTGGTCAGAGTAGGGCAGAGATTGGTGATGGCTTGAACTAACTAATCATGACGATGATGATAGATTGATTGTAAAAAGAAACTATATTTGTTGCTAATGTTAGTTGTTGACAATTCCCATGCATAGTGTTACAAAGAACAAACGTATACAAAACAATAGATTAAATAGATTGTTGGTAAGATAAATAAAATAATGGTAAATTGTATTAAATCCTGTCCAGCCATAATGCATGCCTGACCACAATGTATTAATATACGAATAAAACCAAAACTCTTATTTTTATGAGGAGGAGAACTAAGGTATAAGGCAAATAAGGACAACAATTGTCATTAAATATTAAAAATTACATTAATAGAGTTTTTTTTCTCATTAATGTCATTTTCTTGAAACAAAATATAATCCTTCAATAAACAGAACTTAATACATACAAATAAATTAATGAGGAAATATTTGATTTATACTAATGAAGTACATTAAGTGAAACATCAGTAAAAGTAGATTACGTATATACAAATAAGAACAAAAAATAATATATATACACTTTTATATATTTCATAAATAATAAATAGTAACTGAAATTAAAACCATCTGTATATATATAACAAATATAACTGTCTATACTTTTTTCATTCATTTTTTTTAATGACTAGAATAAAAAAATTAAAAAGAGAGAGGTCTTTAACTAAAATATAAAAATAAACTATTCACTTGTACTATACAATTTGGTTGATAAAAGATCTTTGAATAAAAGAAAATCTTGGAATTGTGCTCTTATTATAAGCATTAGTAGGAGGTGGTTGCGGTGATGAATTGAATCCCGAGGGAGATTGACATTCAGTAGGCAAAGGATACTTCCGCGGCCGGCCACGACCCCGCTTGACAACTGGCGGTGGAGGCCCGCTCGGGGGTGCTTGATTTTTTTTAATGCAGTGGAATCGACCCTCGTTCCCAACTGATATGGATTCTTCCTTAATCAATACTGGTTCATCATTAACTGCAAAATGTTGCAGTATCTTAGCAGACATTGGTTCTAATTTTATCTCGCATGGTTCGCATTTAATAAGAACCGGTGGCACTACTCGATGAGGTTCTTCTTTTTTTACTCTTTTTCTTCTCCTTCTAAGAGGTATTTCTGGCCAGTTATAAGGTTCATTTTTAATATATGTATTATCATTTATCTCATTGTTATGTGGTTGATAAGAGGTTACTAGCTCAGTAGATGATTCATGACATGCTGAAGAGTAATCCATATGCTCCATCCATGAAGTGTCGGAATTATGTTTATCAATGATCGCTTCTAGAGGAACTGTGAGACCTGGTTGTAAATAAATATCCATGCCAGGTGGGTTATCCATTAAGGCAGGATTGACGGCCAAGCAAGGACCTGGACTCACATGTAAGGTAGATGTTTCACCATAAGCCACCCTCGCTAAAGCGGCAGCGAAAACATCTCCATTGGGATCTATAGGCAATGAATCAGGGTTACCCATAAATGAGTTTATACGATAATCAGAAGTAGAAGATGAAGTATCCATGGTATCGGGCAACGATGACCGAGACTCTTCTTCATAAGAAAAATCCGAAGATTTCGAACATTCTCTCAAAGGTCTTCTGAGAAAATTTGACATTACAGCCAAAGTAGAAGCGTGACATCGAGGACTTTTCCGCGATTTATTATCATCTAATTTCCTTCGACCCCTTCTTCTACCATAACCTCTTTTACCAGATAACAACTTCAATCTCTCAGCCACGGGATACTCTAATGGAAGAATCACCTTAGGATAATTATGATGATAAGGATAATGATATTCATTTTTCCCATCTTCTTTCCTTTTATAAGTTTCTATCCAAGGTTCATTTTTTGGCGGATTCTCAAAAGAGAAAGTAATACTATTTAAGCTAAAATTGGAATCAACACAATCTTTCGTAACATCTTCTTCAGACTCAGAAACAGAATCATGATCACAACTGAAAAAAAAAAAAAAGAATTAACTGGACGGTAGTGTTTGAATATTATATATTTAATGTGAAAATAATATTGTTTTTAGAATACGCTGTAATTTTAGTTTAAATAACACACTTGAGTTAAACAAGACAACTTTTAGTATGAAGATTTTTTTGAACTCATTGTACTTGATTGGAACTTGATTTATAAATATTAAGAAATACATATAAATATACATATATTAACTATCCTTAAGAAAGTGGAGAAACGTGAAAATCTGTTAGTCCATGGTACAGACCCCTTTTTATCAAATTATTAACATGATAATATTGCGAAGTTCTGGTTCAATATGATGTCTTTCCATCGTTTAACAGAATTTTGCTGGATTAAAGTTCAGAAAAGTCTAAAACAACTGGTGGTTTATACAATGAGTATTCTTCATATTGACTATCCATTAGTTAATAATTTATTAAAAATAGAGAAACTTGGTATTTACTTTTTATGCTTACCAACTGATAAGAGAATCTCTATCAAACAAAAAATAATATGGTGTTGTAATTAAAACGAATCAAATAGAAATACTCCTATTCCTTTTTGTGCAGTATAGATGGAAGTTAGACTTAGACATGAAGTGGATGAGAAAGAAGGGAGAGGAGGAGCTAGAAAAGTGATCGGCAAACAAAAATACAAGTAACAGTTTTGATAAGAATGAGAAAGCCCCTGAATTTATTTGAGCACTATTCGAATTTGAAGTATAGATTATTTTTTATCTTGTTAATAATATCATTCTATATAAATAGTTATTTAACTATTATCTATCATTAAATTATTATTTGGCAAATTAAATTATTTATAAAGAAATAAATTATTTAAAATGATCATTTTCTATCCCATCTTTGAAATAAATATTCAAAATGACAAATATAATTCTTCTGTTCATTTATCCTAATTTTGGTGTCTTGAAGTTTTATTTTTTTCATAAATTAGGGAAATTATCACCAAACATTTTATTGATACGCTATTTAATTTGACGTTTCGACCATACTAAGGGTCATTTTCAAGTCTGGAAAATTGTGATATCATTATTAGTTAACATTCAACAATTACAAAAAGAATTTCTTATTACACTTAGTTAACTTGTCTAACGATCTATGTCATATATTTTCGATACATATAAATTTATACAAATCTATACATAAAAGTATGCACTTTTTTTATTTTTTTTTTTATAAAAAAACCTTACATCTACGTAACAATTGACTATTACCTTGATGAGTCCTCAAAGATATTATACCACGTGACATGAAAAGTAACCTTATTTATAAAATAAATTGTAAAAATTGCACTAATAAATCATATATAGGACAAACGGGACAATGGTTCGCAAAAAGAATAAAACAACATGAACAAAATTGTAAGTCTAAATCAAACACATCAACCGGTCTTTCACAACATGCAACATACAACAAACACCAATTTGATTTTAAAAATGCCAAAATAATATATAAGGAAAATAGTAACAATAAAAGAAAAATTATTGAGTATATATATATATATATATATATATATATATATATATATATATATATATATATATAACTAAAAATTTAAAGAATTCCGTTAACAACCATACAGATGTGGACAACATAAACACTTTTTACACAAATGTAATTTATAATATTCGCATATAATACAATAATAATTTAAAAGCAATACAAAAATCATAAATTGGATAAAATAATCCACTAATGCAAAACAATAGAAGGAAAATCCCTCTCCTTTTGACTTTTCCCACCAGGACGATATAAGTCAGTCCCTCCAGAAATGACGTTGGCGAAAACCCTATAGAGTATGACAATTTAATGTTCATTGAACAAATTATTTGCGACATTAATGATGAATATTTAACGGAGGACTCATCAAGGTAATAGTCAATTGTTTTTAATGTAAGGTTTAATGTTTAAAGTTACGTACATGTAAGGTTTTTTTTATTAAAAAAAAAAGTGTATACTTTTATGTATAGATTTGGATAAATTTATATGTATCAAAAATAATATGACATAGCTCGTTAGACAAGTTATTTAAGTGTAATAAGAAATTCTTTTTGTAATTGTTGAATGTTAACTAATGATGATATTACAATTTTCCAGACTTGAAAATGACCCTTAGTATGGTCAAAACGTCGAATTAAATAGCGTATCAATAAAATGTTTGGTGATAATTAGCCTAATTTATGTAAAAAATAAAGACAAATATAATGTTTCTTACTTAAAATAATTAAATATCTTACATAACTCATAAAGAAACTGATTTGTTATTTTTATTATACGAGGTGACCTAGTGGCGAGATATCGAAAAACAAAAACAATTATTGTTATTGTTGTTAGAAAGATATGTTGAGATTATATTGATATAGAAACGATGTAATTGATAGAAGTACAAAAGAAAAGTAAGGATGGGAGAGTTGGACCAGACAGTTAAAGTAAAATTCCCTGACTTTTCCCTATATTATGATAGTTTTCCCGGATAAATATGTCTGGGAACACAAATATTAAAAATATATTGAATATTTAACAGTTGACCGTTGGATTATAAAGGAAGGAGATGGTCCGGGGTGGCGGTCATAAATAGGCTAAATAGTGGTAAAACTATTTTATTAAAAGCCGACTTTGCAGGTCTTCTTCAGGGCTAAAACGGACAAGATACAAAAAGACAGAGAATGGCAGTTACATAATATTTAGACAAAATTTATAAACAGTGTGAATAAGCTTATTGAAATAATAAACAGTAAGTGCATTAAAATATGAACAGAGTAAGCAAAGTAACAAGATCCTAAACTGAAGTAAATAGATGCTAACAATTCTTTTAGTGTAATATATAATAAATGCAAATGTGAATATACTTCTACAGATCTACAGGAGAGATTGAAAGAAAAGGAAAAAGGATATAATATGAAATAATAGACATAAAGGAATGTGGAAAAGACCTGCAAAGTCGGGTCGAAACGTCGGCATTTAATAAAATAGTTTTGCCAGTATTTAACCGATTTATGACCGCCACCCCGGACCATCTCCTTCCATTAAAAATGTATAATTTATAACTAAATTTATTAATTATATATGAAAGAAAATTGACTACAGAACGAGTTGGGTAAAAAAAAAATCTGTTTTAGAGGAAGCATTTTTTAAAACTTGATTAGGATTTATTATTTTAGAAAACTACACTCTGATTTTATCTATTACAAAATAAATTGAACTACGGAGGATTATAATATTAATGTAGTTTCTCATAAGTATGTTAGTTTCTTAATTATTATAGGTAGTATAATAATTATTCATATGACATGAACTGTGACATTTCTGGTAAATACATGCTCTTTTAAGGAACACCATGGGTCAAACGAATGAGTGCTTGCCAGCTAGATCTTGACCCAGATTTATATATCACAAATAGTAAATAGTATTGGTGTTTTTCTTTTCAAAAACGCACTGTTTTAAGTCCATTTTGCTTAAATTTTATTCATTATCCTTACTTGATTTCAATATAATGACCAGTGCCATTATTGACAATCAAGGTGGATGGATATGGCAACCTCAGTTGTTAATAACAGCTAAGTTTATTCCTTCAAGATCATTATAAACAATATCCACTCTGCTGCACACTTTTTGACTTTTATTGTGGTTCTTTTCTTAACACACCTATCCTTCAACTATACACCTTATTATTATCTTCATGCAGCCTATTATTCCATTACCTCAAAAAACTGGATGTCAATTGCCATCTATATATAGTACAACCTGTTTTTTGTTTCTTTATCATCATAACCTTGTTTTACATTTATTCTTACATTTTAAAGTTCTCTTTTAAAATTATTGTTCTTTTATAGAGTTACTTATACTTAATAATCTATCCTAACGATATTACACTAATGTTACCCTATTAATCTTTCAATTTCTTCACTTCTTAACCTTTAGTCCCGTTATCTGTTTACTTACAATTAAAGGTAACCTCCACTTGCTTGTTATCCACTGATATCTTATTATTATGTTATGTTATTCTTATTTTAACTTTACTGTAACAATACTTATTCAATTTTCAATCTATTTATTCGTTAGCATTCAATTTCTTTATCTGTTAACCCACAGTTATCTAATGTAATCTCTATTAGTTTGTTATACATTTATTCCTTATCTTTTACCGCAATCTGTTTACTTTTAACTTACATGCTATATTCTCCTTTATTTTTATTCATACTTATTTTCCATTTGTTTATTATATCTTCTACATATATAATACTTAATATTTAACTACATTGTCACCCACTATATCTCTGATATCATCTTTTATTTCTGTATCTGACAACATCTTCTTATTTTATATCTACTTATATTTATTTTTTATTTTCAACATGTTTTGTATCTTTTGTAGCCCTGAAGACGAGCTGCAAAGTGGGTCGAAACGTCGGCAAAAATTAAAATAATTACTATATTTTAATTTAGTATTTATTTGACCGCACCCCGCGATTAACTCCTTCTTATATTATATCAACGGTCAACCATCTCTACATCAATACCCACTGTAAATTTATTTCCGATTTGAAAAATATATTTACATACTAAAAAATTTCCTTGACTTTTCCCTACTTAGAAAAATTTCATGACTTTTCCCATTTTTCCAAATCGGACGCCACCCTGTCTAAAGACTTCCTCCCAACACTGCATAAGCGGTAAAAAGAGGATTGAATATGGCAATGACAATTATTTAAATACTAAATTTATAATATAAACTTAAAGTTTATACTTACGACAGCATAGGTGGGGATGACAAAGAATCAGAGTCCATATCTCTGGTAGTAGGGGATCCATCGTCACTATCTGGTACCATTTTTTTTATCTTAGGAAGTTCTTCATCTTCTGAACTAGACGTTTCAGAACCAGCACTATCACTCGATTCATCATTGCTCGTGTATTCTACTTTTTTAGCTTCTCTCCGAGCTGAATCGCCAAACATGAAGTTCTCGGCCTCATCACTTAACACAGACAATTGTGACTTTCTTACTTTCTTGAACCTGACGACTACTGGCTCTTTACTCTTCTCCACTTTTTTTGACGAAGGTTGTTTGACTTCACTCCTGCTGTCCCCTTCATCAGAGCAGCTGCCATTTTGAATTTCGTCATTGACCCTCGATTCTAACTGCTTCTGGTTCACAAAATATTCAGAAGATCTCAATTTGGAATTCAAGACCTCGACTCTATAATAGGATTTGTTGTCTTCGATAAGTTTTTCTTCTACTGACAACCGCTTCCTTGAAACCCTGCTTCGCCGAGGCTCCACGGAGTTTTTAGGTTTTCTTGAATGATACTTTTGCTTGCTTTCTGCTTCATCGCTCGATTCTTCTTTAGTAAAGAAATCATCATCGTCTTCATCTTCATCTTGACTGACATCACTTTTGTCATAATTACTCCGTTTGGAAGAAAAAAATCCATTATAAAGTTTCTGAAAACATAAGAAAAATACTAAATAAATTTTGAAATCTCAAAATTAATATAGCAACTTGTTTGATTAAAAACCATAAATTTTTACAGAACTTGCAATAATAACAAGTGAATGTTAGATAGGAAGTGTGATACAACATTATTTTAATGAAATCAGTTTTAATAATTGGATACTTGAATGAATTTTCCAATGCATATTTTCAAAGATAATTAACGTTAAAGAAAAGTGGTGGGATGGAGCTATATCACGAGAGTGGAACATGGCAACATCAGGCACTCTCTTCACTGTCAGTGCCTCTACCTCATTGCCATTGATTATCTTATGATTATTAGCTTATTCTAGTGTTCAGCTTTAAAATTTTCAGCCAAGAAAAATATTTCTGTTTCTTATATCACTCTGTCGTCTCTGAATAAAAGTATTTAGTTTAAAACGTATTTTATTATCTTTTATAAATCCACGTTTATAAAGTAGGGCTAAGAGAAGTTTGATAAAATCGTGTTTAGCAATCATATATATCACACCATGGTGGATCCAAGCCACACCTCCCTTCCAAACGAAACTGTTATTTCAAGTTTTTAGCTAAATATGAACATTTTTTTTTTATAATGAATAAATTTTAGGATAGGGTGTTTGATATATATATATATTTTTTTTCTATGTTAATTACATAAATAAAATAAAATATTAATCAATTCACTATTGAAAATAACTAACTAAAATCAATGCATCAAATAAGATTTATAAAAATGAAATGACCTTTCTGATAAATATCATTATTGTCAGATAAGGCAAAGAGACCTGGAGATATTTGAAAACAATTTGCGCTATAAACAAAAACCGAACGAACTTACAGATCCACCCAATATATATTCATCAAGTTCTTAGCTTTCTGAATCATCATTCATGCTTGCAAATAAAGCATTTTTAACCAAATAATCCAGCAATTCAGTCTTTTTACTTCGATTTGACATTTTAAAAATAAATCAAAACGTTAGTTGATCAATTAGCAACTCACAAACTTTGTTTACAGTACACGCATAACGTAAATATAACAAATAAGACTTTAGCACAGACAGGTTATTTACCATTCATTCAAAATTCATCCTGACTGCTTAGCGTGATAGCACATTAAGCATTTACAAGTGCATGAATACATCAATTGTCTTAAGTTTTATTTTCACTGCCCCAAGTTTTATATAACATTAATTATTATAAATTATATTAAACTAGTAGGCCCGTGCGAAAAATTCGCACAGCATATTGTTATCAAATGCCATACTTAATAAGAAAATAAAATAATAAATTGTATCAAAGGATAAAGAAATCAAATGTTACTTTATCGATAAATATAATAGAAGAAAACAAAAATAAATTTAAATCTTCATTTTTGTTTGGAACCAACATGTTTACAAATTTCAGTAAGCTGTATCTTTGCTAAAAATTGTCCGTTATCTATGATTTTTTTTTTTTTTTTGGTAGGGAATATAGTAATCTTTTATACAATCATGGGCATAACCAAGGAAAAAGTGTGCATTTTTTTAGTTATTCGCAAATAAATTTTGTTTTCTTTCATAACTTGTTTGCCTGAATTTTCGGGGTGATTAGACTATTTTGCCCACCTGAAGGAGAAGGAAGCCTTCGAAATTGGTGGCTCAATCTTGTAATTTGGTGAAAAATTAACGATGATATGGGTTGCCGATCAAAAACAAATAAACTCCTCGTCTCTCGATTATAGAGACCTCAAGTCGACGAAATGAGACATGTATTCAATGACAGTATCACAATTAATGTAAGGTTGTGTAGATGCGAACCCTATGCCTTGCGTTATCTCGAAAATAGTACATTTTTGGGCTTAAAAACGCAGGATTCGATAGTTTCGGAGGAACTATCAGGGTATTGCTGTACGCATCAAAATCTTCAAGATCCGATTTGTCCCGTATCGATCTACAGACTTGCCACCGTTCCAGTATTGAAGCCTAGAAAAATGTTTGTATCGACTTTATTTATTTTAGAAAGAAAAACAGAAGCGGAGAATACGATTCGCTAACCCCCCCGTGAAATTCTGAATCCAACAGTGATCAAATACCCATTCATTGTATTTGAGCATGACAGGAGCTTATATTTGGTACAAAACCGATTTCGAGCCTTACTGTAATAATATATGTACGGATTTGTATGCTTGTAAATGTTTTATATGTATCTGAGTTAATCTCATATTAAAAAATAAAGGTAACTTACAGCCTTGTTAATATTTGAGCGAGGAATATGGCCATTCATAGTAACAACGGGTAATTCCAAACTAGGTTTCTCAAATATCTCACTTGGAGGGGATTTTACTATCTTTAATGTTTTTTTTAAACAACCCATGTCACTGAAAAAAAAAACATTAGTAACATTAAAATATATTCAGATAAAGATTTCTTCTAACAATAAGACAAAAATTTGATTTCAAAGTATTTAATTGTAATGAAAACCGAAAATAGTTAATTTTATTATTATTACAAAAGGGAGACTTGAGGATTCTACGTCTAAAAAAAATTGACTCACTCTAAGTCACAATAGTTGAAGATGGATTCCAATTGTGGGTATTGTATTGGTGGGTATGAACCATGCTGGCAAGACCGTGCATGGTCAGCGAGATCATTGAAGTAAGCTCCGCAAACCTTAAAAACAGTACATTTACCGTCTTTGATTTAATAAAAAGGAAATCAATTCTACCCATTTTAACTAATCTAACGAAAAATTATGAAATAATAAATTAATTAAAGATTTGAAGAATAGAAAACCCTCGTTAACAGTAAAATTAACTCTAGAATCATCTTATCAGTTAAGCCATTCAAATGAATAGAATTTTATCAAATTGAAAACAAATTTTAAAATTGTTACTTCAACCAAAAATATATTAGTGCAATAATATCATCATAAATGAATTTATCATTAAAATCAAAGAAGAGGATAAATAACAAATATATACCTGACAATATCCGGCTTTTTCTTCTTCCTTACCACTACGCACACCCCTTCCACTCTTCTCAGATTTCCTGGACATTCTGAAAAAAACAAAAGAAAAAAGTAGATAAAATATTTTTAACACAGAAAAACAATGTTTTGTAACAGGAGTACACCATAAGAACCAAAATGATGAAATACGAGATTCGAATAATTTAAAAATAGAAAAAAAAAATGTCTATTGTACTCATTCTATTAGGAATGATTTATAGAATTGAAATTATTTCTATTAAAAACTAAAAAACTCATTTTAATTGATCTTGAGTCATTAATTAAAGCTCATTTTGTGAGGATTAAAGTCAATAATAACAACAAACATAGGGTTCTAAATCAACAAATAAAGGCTTTTTAAAACTATTAACTATTTAAATTACCTAGTTCTTGACATTTGTATTAATTCTATAAATACTTTTTGTTGCTATAGAAGTGAAACACAATATAAATGTACATACATGTATATTCACATAATGGCTTGATTCTAAAAGGGCTAATTTCTAAATTATTAGTCTTGAGAATGTCAACTTTGGCTCTTTTTAAAAAATAATAGACAACATTATCAACGATATTGTTAATTGAAATAAATGTTTGTTTTTTGACATTTCGCTTATAAAAGGATAAAGATTTACTGAAGTTGAAACATTTGATATTAGCCCTTTCAGAACAAAGCAACAGACATATATATATTTTAAGTACCACCTTTATCAGTCATGCCTGCGGATAAGGTAGCCACAGAATCATCTTAGCAGAGATGGAACGGTTGTGAATACAATGCTAAACCAAATTAGATGAGCTCATTTCCTTAAAAAATCAATCAGGTCTAAGATTCTGAAAATAATTGTGAAAAATATTATCAAAAAAGTATAAATATAGAATCAAAAAGCATATTTTATAACCAATAACCTTCCACATTTCAAAGCCATTATATTGTTAACAATTATATATATTAATTGTAGTTATTAAATGAAATTGATTCTAGGTGATATTCTCCAATTTTGGGCCAAATCGACTATAGACACATCAAATAATACATTTTCTGATCTGAAAATGGAAGTTTTTTTTTTTTTTTTTTTGGAGTAGTGGAATGAATTTGATATAATTCATACATACTTGATTATCAGTTTACTAATCCCTAATTTCTCTCCAAATTTGAGCCAAATCGAATGTGAGTTTTTACAGATATAGACATATTAAGGAAAATACATTTGCGCATATATAAGAGAAAGTAGTAACAGAATACGATAAAACTGACATTATATTATTTTTTCACCAGTAACTACCTTTTATCCAACTTTGAAACAAATTGAACCAGCCGTTTCTGAAATACTGGCATATCTAAAAAAATACGTTTGCATAAGCGGAAGTATTGGATATAGTACCATCAAAACACTAATCCACACAATCCCTAAAAATCCGATGAATGGCAGTAGATGATAAGCCCGTTACATCGATTTGACTACAGACAGACACTGAACCAAATTTGATCCTTGATGTCTTAAATGTAAAACACGAGTGAAAATTTTCGGTTCTGAGCACCAAATTTTTTTTAAACTCGCACAAATACAATGCTTCTCTGCCTTTGGTAGTGAGGAAGCAAAAAAAAAAGTTAAAATTAATAAAATGTGTAAGTGGATGTTTTGAAAAATCCTGAGCTTTTTCTAAAACATTTATCATGAAAACATTGAAAAAAGAGAGTTAGTATTAGCATATATATTATAGATATTAAAATATATTCGTAAAGATTTCGGGAGGAAATCTTTTTTTGTGAAAGTGAAATACGTTAAACAAACAATAAACAATAGCAGGGGTCTTCAAATTATGGCTCGGAAGCGCCTCCAATCTGGCTCCCAAAAATTTCCTTGAATACATGGTAAAATTTAAAAAAATATATGAAATTTAGTAATTTGCTCAAACATGAGGTTACTATAACATTTATTGCATGTACAGTTTCTCTAAGAAAAATTATTTCACAACTGAAGTGTCATTTATAGAACAAAGTTTTTTTTTTTCATCGCAAGTCATGACCCGCGGTCCAAAACATTTAGAAATCCCTGCCTTTTACTGACATGGATAGTTTAAATGGAAAGAGATTGTGATAAATCAGTCACGTTCGGTTGTTTCTGATTTCATCTTTTCTATTTAGTACTAACCGTTATTTCTCTTTTACTTGATTATCAAGTTCATTCATAGTTTAAATTTAACCAATTTGTGATCTTCGTCGATTCACAAGCAGCCATACTGTCTATCTGCAATGGCCTGAACCACCCTGATGTTACTAGTGCCAGAAATCGGATTAATAATTTAATTAAAAAAGGAATCCAAGTGACTTTCAAATGGATTCCAAACCATTGCGGTCTACCAGGAAACAAAAAAGCTGATGAGCTCGCACGGATCGCCTTGGAAATGCCACAAACTAATCCTCCGTTGCCCTATGAATCTGTTAAAAGGATTTTAAAATCCTTTTACAAGGAAGAGAACAAGAGTTGGCAAAAGCGACAGGCAGCGGGGAAAAAATGGGAATCTTTAACAGAGGAGCCGATGAAACAAACAAAAAATAGGAAATAATCGGTGGCGAATTTCCGCATTGCAACAGGACACGATTACCTGCAAAGGCATTTACATAGGATTGGAGTGATAGAAAGCCCTATGTGCCCTCTTTGCCAACAGGACGAGATGTATGAACTACATCTCTCAATTTGCCCTGATCTGTCAGATGCCCGCAGTAATTCAGATGGGATCGGCACAAAATCAAACAAAGGAATCATGGCGGAGTTGTATTGGGCTGCCAGGAGCCGAATAGCCTAATAGCCAAGGCGTTTAATAAAAAAATAAAAGTTTAAATTTAACCGTTTTTCATTACTAGTTACAATATAAAATTATAAATTATTTTAAATTAACAAAATTATAGGTACATTAGAAATGTTTTTTAAAATTCGGCTTTTAACCCCTGTCAGACTATATTATATGAAGATAATAGTTTGATATTAAACATCACTTGATATTACATTAACATAATAAGTTAAATCTAAATTCTAAAAACCATTTTTGAAAAAACTGTAAAATGTGTCAATTTGATGGAGAACCGCTTTCGATTGTTAATTCTGATGAAAAAGTTGCTGTAACATCGCAGGTACATACATATCTTAAATATGTAATTTCGGTTTCGTATAATTTTTTGAATTTGAGCTAGGTTGTTCGCACATATACAGATTATTTAGCAAAACTTGGTTATGTTCAAAACAGGTATATTTCTATTGAAAAACATTCAAATTTTTTCACAATCACAATATTTTTCCTTACTAAGGAATAAATAAAGACTGAATACTCTTTTGATAAGTTAACACATCTCAAAAGATAACCTTTCACAAACTTGCTCTAGATTGTTATCAGGAATCAAATTAAAAAAATGTAGACCAATTTATTAGTCATACAAATAGTTAATAGGAGAAACACTGATGGATAATTTGAAAACATAAAGATAACAAGTTATCAGTGCTTGGAACAAGTAAAGTAAAAGTGAATGGATGATAAGACAAATTGAAACCATAATAGATTTATATCAATTTTAAACATTTAAAATTATATATGATGACTTCAAGTACTATACAAGCTCTTATAAGTATAGTAACAATATAAAGTAACAATATATTCCACTTTTAATGACGTTTCGTACTAATTTGCTCATTCTCAAGTTATATACAACAAGTAACACAACATAATTGACAACAATGTTTACTCATTATCTAGTCACACTCGAAATGTCATTAAAAGTGGAATGAATTGCTTAAGTATAAGGGCTTATATATTCCTTGAAGACAACATATATAAGCATATTAAGTGCCATTGAAAAAACATTTCATAATACACACCCCAAAGTTACCTAAACACTTTCTAATTAGGTCATTGCCAACTTAAATGTTTTGATTTATACTAAATCTAACACATAAATTACTTGAACTACAGAAAACACTAAAAAAAATAAGACTTTTAAGGCAATGGTGAAGTAAAAGTTGTGAAAACTTGTGTTACAATGTCCCACCTCTAAATTTCTAATGTTTAATTTATTCTGCTGCATTGAATGAGAATAATACAGTTATATTTGAGGAAAAGTTATAATAATTAGTAATATGAATAACAAAGAAAGCAATACTAACCAAGTTGACATTAAAGATTACTTTTGAGAATTACATCAGCACATTAACAGGTTGTATGTAGGACGATCAAGTTCTACGCTTATATAAGAATATAGTGAATCCGTACCTGGATGAAAACACTCAAAATATATAGAAGATGATCAATCGTATAAATGAACTATGTAACCAAGTTTTACTAGATCTACGTAAACAAAAACCAACAATAACATTTAACAATTTAACCTACAACTTCTTCCACAAGACATCTTAAATCTCATGAACGACTAGTTCTTTCAAAACAAGAGATTGATTAGGCACTTCTAAAATACTATTTCTACCTGATAAGGTTTCTATCTAATGGAAGAACGTTTAAAGTTACTGTTTTATTCTTCATTATTTAAATGAAACATAAAAACCTTATAGTAAATTCTACCTATTGTTGTTAAACCTAAGAACTTCACCTATTTATACATTAAATTAAAAAAAAATTAGGGCAATATTTCGAAAACGCCATTTGACTAAGCCAAGCAAAAAGTCATCAGAAAGTTCTTTTTAATATTTCACTCATCAGCGTTAATCCGTCATTGTTTTCTCTTAATAACATACAATGGTGAGAAAAAATTGTATAGCTTCGGCATATTTTGAATGATTTTTATGAAAAATATACTTATTTATCAATTAGCAATGTTTGTTAGAGGGGCTTCTGCAGAAGTTTTGGTATATATTTTCCTTTATATTATAAAAAGATTTTTTCGTATCAGGAAAATATGTAACTAACCTTCTTTCTAGTTCTCACTTGTTATTGAATTGTTTAATGTTTAATTCATGTAAAGATCGCTAGTGCTTTGAACGGCTTTAAACCGCCTGAGTAGTAAATGAACTACGGCGATGAAGAACAAATATCGAATAACAAATTCTCACAAGAGGGTTCTCAGGTAGATCCACCCGTCATTCTCTTAAGTATAGATTGGCGCTCTTAAGTATAGTTCAGCTTTATCTTACAATTTCGCTCTGCTGTTCGAAGCCACCAAAACGGTCAGATCATTCACGTTTGCCGTTGTAGAACCCGCTCCTCATCCACCACTCCCTCCAGCTCGTTGAAGACCGATTTCCATGGTGCAGGATTAAGATCGATTCAAAGAAGCTATCCCGTATTTTCAAATTGTGGTCTTGGAGATAGCGTCTCAGAAGGTCGCACAAGTTGCTGGGAGTCTCCTACTTCTGCAACTGCTGGAAAAAAACCATTGTAAACATTATCGAAGGAGATAAAACAGGAGAAGTATAACACACTTCTTTACTTTCTCTTCAACATTTATCAGCTCGCACTCTCAGCAGAGCATCTGCGGTTTTCCTACATCACTCGTAAGATCGGCTATAAGCCGATCATCAGTAAGTTTTCCAACAGTTTACAAATGACAGATAGGATATATACACACAGATATAAACCTAAAATTTTGTTTAGACTTTTTTCCCAATCAATCCCAAACTAGGTATTAAATGTTAAGGTATATGGGATGAAGGGGTTGTATTAAAGGCATAACCTGAGTCGTCCGGTGAGTTTTTGGCGCCCGAGGGGAGATTTTTTCGGGTTTTTAAATAGAGAAAAGAGAGTTAAATGATTAAGTAAAGATACATTTCAAATCTTGACCCATCTTGCTGTAATTTTCGTTCGGATGTTAAAAAATAATTTACAATTTGTCTATTGTATGATTTGTTTTAAATACTTTTTGACTATATATTCTTTCTTAATCAACTCTTATTTAAATCAGGTTTCCTGTTAATCCCTGGGCGCATTTATTTTAACCAAAGTGGGGAAGTTAAGATTCATCCTGTAGTTCCGCCATGAAATAAATTGCAACTGGACTAGTTCAGATTCGAACTGCTGCTACTCAACTCGAGAATGTTAAAATGGGCCAACATATTCGATCATAACGCATTAGTGCTGTGAACCAAGATCACTCTGGTTACCACATGAAATATTTACTACGTAAATTTTAGTTATTCCCAGGAAAGGTTGGTGAGGTCTACATGCAGTTGGCCGATGGATTTCACATATCCAGAAAGAGAGGGAAATCACTAGCAGTGCCGTTTTCCTTGGTCACCCATCCAAGTACTTCGCTCAATCTTTATTATCTATTGCATCTAGATTCCCTTTTACAGTAACCAATACAACCATCCTAAACAGCAGCTGAGCCCAAAATTGTTAAACTTCATTAAGAAACAAGTTTGTTTTGTTAAGAATAATAATACAACAAATCATTCCAAAAATTTCTCTAGGGAAGACTCCCCTTTTCTTATGGAACCAATAATTATGTTTTGACTTATATTAACTATAATGATCAATCTGGAAAACTGTAGGCAACACTAAACCAAATAGAACAGATATAAGAATTGGTGTGTATTAAATGATTGACCATGAAGAATAAATAAACCCATTTTAAACCAAAGTAGAATTTATGAGATTTTCAATAACACTGAAAAATCATTTTTTTAACAATTCATATTAAACATTAATCACTGCATCTTTCATCGACTATATGGTGTAAGAGAAACTTGGTTGAAATTTATTAATTAAATAATTTTAATAAATAAGAGAACTTAATAAAAAGCATCACTTCTTTACTTAATAAAGCTGGCCAAAAACTTCAAAGTATTCACTTTAATATAATTCATAAGATGAGGGTTCATTTTAGAGTTGACTGTTTTTCAAAACTACTGTGAATTAAATTAATTATAAATAAAATTCAATTAACATAACTACTTTAATTGACTGCACGAGTATTGTTTATTAACAAAAAAGTGTAACTTGAAAAGAAATAACTATAGACTTGGGTATTTACTGAGTTTTTTTACATTGCAAAATAACTCATCTTAATAATAATGAACTTAAGATATTTAAAAAGAAAAGACAGAGTTAATACTAAAATTAAAAATTGCAAAAGTGTTTCTTTATATATTTGACATCATTATTACGTATATGATATAAAATAACATATTTCATACAAAATAGGAACAGCAGAAGAGCAACCTTAAAAGTCTAAAGCTCCATAGTTAATAAATAAATATATTTTTCTCTCATTTGGTAAAAGACATCATGGAAGTATACAATTCAGCCACTACAAATAACTTGACAATTCTATTTAATAGGTTTGGAACAAATGTAAAAAAATCATTAGTACTAAACATAATAAAATATATAAAATTACATCTTTTCTTTAAAGCAGTTACCGTTTATCTAGATATAGAGAAGACAACAAATAACATAACCACCAAATAATGATTTTCTGTTTTCTATTCTGCTATGTTTTATATAAGAGATTCTTCCTTTATTATTGTACAAAACACTTGTCTCTGATTAACAAATTAATATTATATATATATATTCATTTTTTATGTACAAATATTACAAAAGGGAAAATAGTTTTTCTTCTTAAAGATATGTAAATCTAAAATTTACTCTGTACAGATAACCTAAAAATATAATACAAAACTTAAATACATATATCATTTTCTTTCTTTTAGATAAATTCATATGTATATATTTATATAAATACATTTTTATAAAATACTGGAAAATAAATACATAATGAAAAAGAGACAACTGAAAACATTAATATTTACAGAGGCATAACAGCCGTAATAAATTATATATATATAAAAAATAACATTAAAAAAAATATTTAAAAACAAACAAAAAAAAATGTATTTACAATCAACATTTTATGAGTAGGTTCACAAAAACTTTAAAATATATATTTTCTTTAGTTATATAAAACAAATTATATGTTGCATTATTGATATATTGTACCCACACCATTTTATAGGTTCCTAACTGACTAGTGGGAAGCTTTAGGGTAATAAAATGGATTAAGTTATAACTATTCATTTAATACAGGACCTCCGTGGTGTGAAAGAAAATCTTGGAAGTTTTGTTTTTACAGGGGATGATTGGGTAGCTGGAGACAGCGGCGTTATAGCAGTGAGAAGAGGTGGATACTTTCTCGGTCGTCCGCGACCTCTCTTTACCGGAACCAAAGCTGAATCACCTCCATTGAAGGTGGACAGTTCACGTTTCACTGAGCAAGTCAACTGCTGCAAAACTTCAGGACACATGGGTTCCAGCTTTATTTCGCAAGGTTCACATTTTATCATAAGATGAGGAGTTGCTGGAGGAGGAGGTTCCTCTTCTTTCTTGATTACTTTCTTTCTGGGTTTTTCTATCGGCCAACCAGTTAAATTTCTCTTCCTCCTTCTCCGCCGTCCACTTATTCCACGACCATCATCTGAAAAGCCGATTAAATCAGAACAATCAGAACCGGAATCTCTATCAGGTTCGAGATATCGGAAATCCATATCTAACGACTGTGGGAACTGATTAGAGTTATGCTGCTGGTTAATTATGGACTCGAGGGGAATAGACAGACCAGGTTTCAAATCGATTCCTATTTCGGGTAAAGAATCCTCCAAGAGCATATGGCTGATAGGCAAACATGGACCAGATCCCACTTGCAGGCTTGAAGTTTCACCACAAGCTAACCTTGCTAAAGCAATAGCGTAGACGTCACCATTGGGGTCTATAGGCAATTGATTGCAATCTCCGTTAATTGACAATGCAGTTCGGATCTCGGAAGCAGACGATGATGACTCTATCGTTTCAGGCAAAGATGATCTCGACTCCTCTTCGTAAGTGAAGTCAGGATTACTGGTACATTCTCTGATGGGTCTTCTCCGCATTAGACTAGACATAATGGCAAGAGTTGATGCATGACATCTAGGACTTTTTCTCGGCTTGCCTTCATCCAGCAATCTAAAAAACCTGTCTCTTCGTTTCCCGAAACATGGCCCTTTCTTACCGGTTAAAAGCTTAAACCTTTCAGATACTGGATATTCACAAGGTAAAGGTATTTTTGGATAATTATGATAATGAGGATAATAAAACAGATTTCTTCCCTCTTCCCTCCTTTTTAAGGTTTCAAACCAGGGGTCATTTTTAAGGGGATTTTCAAATGAAAATGTAATACTGGCAAGGTTTATATCAATGCTATCTTCTGAAGCCTCGTCTTTGCCTTCTTCAGAGAGATCAACAGCAGAAGGCACTCTGCGCGGTGATCTGGAACATAGTAAAGTACAATTTTACTTTAGTAGTAAGACAGAAGAATACAGATTTATAATCTCAATTAGAACATATGAAAACAGTTAATTATTTTAGCTGAAAAAAACTTCACGTGCTTTACTTTCAGCTTCTTCATTGCGAATATATATATATATTTTTTATCTCTAGGCTATTCTGTATTTTAATTTTTTTATTTGGCAAAAACGTGACATATCACACTTTAACACGTTGGAGACAAAATCATATTTCACAAACTGAGAGCCTTTAGAGTGCTCAGACTTGGGAGACGTATTTTGGTTCCTAATTTTTTTATAGTTAATACAGGGTAGCTATCAGACAGTCAATCTAAAATTATCGATGTTGCCCTATTTAATGATAGTTTTTTCTGACCAATATATTCAGGGATACAAATATTAAAAATATATAATTTATAAATAAATTTATTTTTTATACATGAAAGAAAATTGAATTTGAATAAATAAAAAAACAGTCTTTTAAATAACAAATATAATGTTTCAGAGGAAGCATTTCTTATTAAGCTTCATTAGAATTTTTTATTTCAGAAAACTAAACTTTTAGTAATTTATTTTTATTACTTTTATTTTATTTTCATAAACTGCGAGGAGATAAAAGTTGAATTTTTAGCAAACATCTCGGAATAGAATAAGAAATTTCATCAGTCAACTTCAAACTCAAATACTAAATTATTGAGACATTATTCATCAAAATTTGAGACCAAATCAAAGAAGTTTTCGAAATATTAGTGAATCAAGGAAAAAATAAGTTTTTACATTTGCAAGAGAAAGCATTTCTCTTCAACTTTGGGCTAAATCAAGCATATGGTTTTTATAAACTTTTTTTTTTATTGGACAGCTTCCTATCCACCATTTCTGGCAGTTTTATTCCGTCGGTCCACCACGAAATAAAAGTCAACCACTCCCAGGCCAGATTCGAACCGGCATCCTTAGGCACGAGGATGCTAGACCGAGCCAACACACTTGACCACCACGACTTCAGGATTTTTGAAAAACTGTCGTATCAAGGAAAAATATTGGCATATATGTAAGATGAAGTAGAGGATTAAATTTTATTTTTATATTAACTCCAAACTGTCCTCCCAAATTGAACAAGCTGTTTTTAAAATAAAGGTTTGTCTAAGAAAATACAAACACGTATACGTATGCACAAGTTAAAGTAGTGGATAGAATTCGATGAAATTGATATGGAAACATCTAAGTACTTATGCGCATAATCTTAAAAATTTCGTTAACATCGCATAAAGTTGAGGAACCATGACCCATATATTTATTTATTTTGTTCCATTATTTAATTTAACACTTTATTAAATATGTTTAAAAATATTACAATAACACTTACTTCAATCTAGGAGGAGTTGCTACTGACTGTGGTTCTGTTCCTTTTGCATTGTTGCGGGGTATTGATCCTTCACTGTTGGTAACAGGTTTCCGCACTTTCTTTTTAGGGATGATTTCTTCAGCTGTACCAGATCCTTCAGAATCTCTTTCACTGGAATCGGAGCTACTAGAATCTTCATCCTTCCTTGAATCTTTTTTAGTTGTAGATTCACCGAACATAAAACTTTCAGCTTCATCACTTAAGAGTGCTAACTGTGACCTCCGCACCTTCTTAAACCTGACGACAACAGGCTCTTTATCTTGTTCTTTGCCGTTTTCTACAGCAGTTTGCTTCTGTTGACCATTATCAGGGATGTTTTCAGGAGTGCAATTTCCATTCACAACTCCATCATTCACTACTCTTGCCTCCAATTGTTTTTGATTAATAAAAAACTCAGTAGATCTCAATTTAGAGTTTAACACTTCAACCTTATAATAAGACTTGTTATCCTCGATAAGTTTCTCTTCCACAGAAAGCCTTTTCCTCGACAATCTATTCCTCCTAACGACAGTTGGAGTTTGAGGAGTAGTTGGAACTTTTATAGGTTGATGCCTTGATCGTAAATTATGATCTTCACATGGCTCTACTTTTACAGTTGGTTCATCCTTCTTCTCAGTAGCGGCACTATTCCCTCCTCCACTTCCTTTGATAGAATTCTTTCGTTTCTCTTGTAATGGAGAGAGTCCGTTGCTAAGAATCTGAAAGAAAAATGAGCAGATTTAAGCAAGACATAATTAAGACTAGAAAAATTTAGCAAAAATGAATATACCAATATTTTCAAAGAAGCAAAAATTAGTTGAGACATGATAACTAAATTCATTTAAAAATTATATTTGTAATTTATTTTAAAGAAGAAAATTCTTGATTTCAATTTAATTAAAGCTCAATCTCAGAATATAGAACTACAGTACATCAAAAATGTTGCCAGATTCATAAGGATTGGAAGACTTCGTTGGGCAGGTCATGTTGCTCGAATGAAGAACAATGAGATCTCAAAGAGACTTTCGGAAGAAAGGCTGTACAGCGAGAGGAGAATTTGCAGGCCGAGACTACGGTAGACCGATGGAGTGGTGGAGGATGCACAGTCCATCTTAGGAGTAAGAAACAGGAAGCCAGAGGCAGCAAACTGAGAGGACTGGTGGCCGATGTAGCGGAAGGCGCTGACTCACGACTGAATTGTAGTGCCAGAAGGAAGGAAGTAAGTACATGGAAAATATTCAAATTTTTTGGAAACCTTATATTTTTTATGGAAACAATTTTCTGTATGGTGAATAAAATTTCTATATATTTGAAAAAAAAAAAATCACAGCTTTAAATAATTTAAAATTGTGGTCAAAAAGGACCATTATTAATGAATGATCATAAGAATGGATAATGATTAAGATTCTCTGAGTACATTTCCTAACATACCAGGATGGTCTAAAAGTTTCCAACCGCAACGTGAAGATGGCAGCACTCATAAATAAAAGCAAGTGAATTTCGTTGTTCATCTGTTGACAGTGAACCACTAAAGTTTGGACGTCCAAGCCATTTTGGACTTCAGTTTTTATGTAACAGTCGTTTGGGTGAGTTGATGTGAGGGTTTTTGTGAAAATGGACAAAATTGAGTATCAAGTTGTCATCAAGTATTTGTTTATGAAAGGCAATACGGCTACGCAAATCAAAGATGAGTTGGATTCTGTGCATGGGGACTCTGCACAACCATTTACCACAGTGCAATTTTGGGCAGCTGAATTTAAACGTGTCCATAAGACCTTGGGAGATGATGAACGTATGGAACATCCAAAAACTGCAACTACCGAAGAAAACATCGCCAAAGTTCACCAAATGGTGCTAGACAACCACTGAATTAAAGTGAGAGAGATAGCAGAGGTTATGAACATGTCACAAGAAGTTGTTACATATTAAATCAATATTTAGATATGAGAAAGCTATCCGCAAGTTGGGTGCCGCATTTGTCGATGTTAGACCAAAAATGTGTTCGAATGAACATTTCCAACGCTCTGTTGGTGCAGCAAGGCTCAATAAATCAGAGTTTTGGCACCAATTAATTACTGTAGATGAAACTTGGATACACCATTATATGCCCGAAACAAAAACACAGTACAAACAATGGGCTGCAAAGGGGAACCGGCTCCAAAAAAAGCAAAAACTGTTTTCTCGGCTGGGAAAGTGATGGCGACTGTTTTTTGGGATAGTCATGGACTTGTTTTAATCGACTATCTTCAAAAAGGAAAAACCATTACATGAGCATACTATGTATCATTACTTGAGAAACCGAAGGCAGAACTTGCTGAAAAAGAAAATCCTGTTTCACCAAGGCCACGTACCATCTCACACCTCAGCGGTTGCCATGGCAAAAATATATTAATTACGGTTTGAACTGCTTGACCACCTGCCTTACTCACCAGATCTAGCCCCAAGATACTTCTTTTTGTTCCCTTATCTAAAATTTGTGCTCGGAGGACTGAGATTTTCATCAAATGAAGAGGCAATCACATTCGTGAACAATTATTTTGCAGAGAAAAATGCAGAGTACTTTTTGGACGGGTTACAGAGATGGAAGCACTATCGGGAGAAGTGTGTAGAGTTATAACGAGACTATGTTAAAAAAAAAAAAAGTCAAAAATGTCTATATTTTTGTTAGGTCAGAAACTTTTCAGACCACCCTCATAAGAGTAAAATTTTCATTTTATATTTTGTCTTTATCGATATGTAGGAAAAATTAGTATTATCAAAATAGAGGCATTACTGAGAAAATTATAGATATGTGTAAAATTGATGATATCAAGTTCCACTTCCATGTAGATGGATTTTGACCAAAAAGTTGTCTTAAAATCTCAGGCATGATTCTCATCTTAAATACATAATTTCAGTTTCAGACAACTTTTCATTCCTGAGCTGGTCAGATACATAAACACAAAAGTTGTATTTTCATTAAAAACTTAGATAAAAATTATGCATGATCAAAATACTTTCCATTACTATATATTTTATATATAGGCAAATAAAAGTATAATAAAAATAATTGAAATTGTTTTAGTAGGATAGGGATGAAAAACTGTTATCTTTCTATACATTAATTTTTGTCAGAGAAGCTCCGCGTTTGATACAATAAGGTTGTACACTACTCGAATAAAATAGAAGATAGATGATCAAAACCGTCACAACAATTTTACACTCAATAATTCTATATTACAAAAAATGAAATAATTCATACGCAAATTGTAAGCCTTGATGCAAAAACATAGTAAGTATATAATCTCAAATTATAAGTGACAGCCATATAATATTGAATAGAATACCAGAAAAAATTGAATTAAGCTTCTAATTATCAGCTGGTCCAAGATTAAACTTGTTTTAACCTGAAAGGTAGCGTGCATTCATAAAAACCTGTGTTTAAAAAAGTTATAATATAACAGAATGTGTTGAGTTCGTCAGTCGAATTCCTTGACTTTTATATATCTTAAATGAAATTTTCTACCCTCATTCTCTAACGAAATGAGGAAGAGAAAAAAAAATAAATAAATAAGTAAAATATCACAAAAATATCAAGTCACAATATTTTAAAATATTCATTGATAGATTAACTATCACCAGACCAAACTTGAGTATGATTCAAATATTAGAACGTCAACTTTCAATTTCCAACGTAAAAAACAATTAATGTCCTACACGAACTCTAACTTACCAGGGAGAGTGGGATGAGATTCTTGGAAAACAAAATTATCTCCAAGAAATTATAATTCATAATCACTTTCTTTATGCCTATAACAAATTACAATGAAAATAAGATAAAAATTTTAATACAATTATTATTTTAGCATATTGCACATCTTCATTGCAAATGGATTGTTTCTAATAATACAGTTCGTTAGTTGAGTTTAAATTACATTCACTTCATTTTAGGACATCTTCAAGATCTAAATTGATATATTAATTTTTTTTTCTCAATACAAAATGAATTGATAATCATGATATTATGATAGTAGAAAATATAAAACGATAGCCTAGAACACATTCAAATATTTATCTTTTGACCAATTATGACTATGTCTGGTTTATTATTTATTTTCGTGATCAGAAATAAAAGAAGGTTCTTCACTAGCAGGCCAGGACTGACTGCTATCTGCCAATGTTTATAACCTGAACACTGATAATTCCGATAAGGCAGTGATAAGCCTTCTCGTAATTCCTAATTTCATATTATTGAAAGTGTAAACAGAAAAAAAAACAAATGTAATAAAATAATACTTTTATTTTATGACGCATATATTAATGAAACAATAAAAAAAAAAAAAAACACTTAAAGAAAATATATACATATAAAAGATCAAAATGAAATAATAAAAATACACTTAAAGAAGATATGTACATATAAAAGATGAAAATGAAATAATAAAAAAACACTTAAAGAAGATATGTACATATAAAAGATGAAAATGAAATAATAAAAAAAAAAAAACACTTAAAGAACATACGTAGATATACAAGATGAAAATGAAATAATAAAAAAACACTTAAAGAACATATGTAGATATAAAAGAAAAAATATCAACACTATAAACGACATATGTACAATTTATTTTCACTTTGTCTTGTTTATTTTGGTACGCAAAATAGTTTTATGCTATTTAAAATAGCAAGGATCTCTTCTTTGTGAACCCACTGCCACAAAAATTCCCAGAATGTAACAAGATTCATAATTTGACGAAAATAAACTAAAAAAAAAAAATGAAAAATAAACACAAATGGGCCAAAAATAAAGAATTTAATAAGTGAACGTAATAAGGGAATAACTGAAAAATAAACAATGTAATAACTGAAAGGTTTGGCGGGATAAGAGGGAAGTTATGTGACGTGACGTTAGATAACATAGATAAGAAGTGAGGTTTCGACTCGCCCTGCTAGTGAAGTAGTACCTAAAAGAATTATAATTATTTTTTTGGTAATAAATTATTAGAAAATTTTGACTTTTTCCTATCTGCAGACCCTTCTCATAAAACGTTTTTGCACCAATGGACAACAGTTTCTGTTGGGCGATAATTTAATCTTCTTCATGCTATTTACAACACTGTGACCAATATTGCATTTTATATTACAGTTTTTTAGATTAATATAAACAGCAATATTATCCACAGAAAAAACTAGGAAAATTTAGACTTATTTGGTTCTGATATCAAGGCCTTTACTTGAGAAAAATACAAAATAAAAATTGCTATTTAGATCAACTACACTAGAATCCATATAACAAACCTTATCTGATTTGGATCGGGTAACATGACCGTTGATGACCGGAGCTGTCTGACCTTCTGGAGGAGCAGTTGGAGTCGCCTTCACGATGGTAACATCAACAGGAGGGGACTTGGCGATCCTTAACGACTTCCGCAATGAACCCATGTTCCTGCAGCAAACACATAACATTATTTTAATCCAACAACTATTAACCATTCATTAGTGAAATAGAGATAACTACAAATGGAAGCTGTACCAGTTTAAAAAATAAAATAATAATTTGCTCACAGATAAAACATATGAACAGCCTTACTATGAAACTGTGTAAGTACAATACATTTGGATTTAAGGTTATTTTATTTCTGCTTAAATTTTAGGCACAACTTAATTGTTATTTTTTCCTATTAAGTAGTTTATCAATTGCTAGTATTTATTTAGTCTTTTTAAAAAAATAGTAATAATAAAAATGCATCACAATATGATTATAATTCAAATTTACTTCTTTTGATCTGTTGAGAAATTGGTATTTGTCAGTAACACCGCTTCGCATTGAGAAAAAAGATTTATTTAATTATGATAATGCATCAATGGTTGACCTTAAGGTAAATGAAAACTTTTATGAATGGTGATGAAGAATAACAGATAAAATATTGATTACCATGTACCAAATGTCGGTGTTTCGACCAACATTATAAATTTTCATCAATATTCTACGAAACCTCTAATTAAAAAGATCAATTTGAAACAGTTACAGTTCAAAAATAACAGAAAAACAATTCAAAGAAAGATTTCAGTAACACTGAAATGGATTAAAAATAATGTTAACTTTTTTTATCAAGTAGTGTTGTAAAAACAAGCCTTGAGCTCCTACTCGAGTCTTGAAGGCTCGGCTAAAGCCTTTGGACTTCGAACCTTCAGATTTCGAGCTGAAGGCTCATAAGGTTCAAGCCTTGAGGAATTCATCTTTAGAAAAAAAAAACTTAAATTATTGCAGCTTTGTACATTTTAGTAAAAAATATATATATTTTTCTGTTGGTAGTAAGAATGAGAATATTATATTTCTGAAATATAATGTGAATAAATAAAAAAAACAAAACAAATAAGGCTCGAATGCCGAGCTCTTAGGACTTGAGCCTTCTTACCGAGCTCTTTTACAACACTACCTACAGTTTATAACGAATGAAACCACACCTGACAGCTCGTTTTATTCATATAATAAAAAATTTCGTTGACTTATTGCAGTCATTAAGGGATATTTCATAACTTTAAATCACTAACCATTTTGATAAGTTCCCTCCCCCCTTGTAAAATCAAAGAATTGCAGTCTTGTAACAATCACATATAAAAGGTTTTGTAATTTTACTGTGTTAATAAATAAATAACATCAAAATTCACAAAACGTTTTAAAAAATTCAGCACAATCAAAAAAGTAATTAGTGTCTTTATACAATAAACCGATGTTTATATTATTATATAACTGGGAGGCACAGAAAAGAACTATAGACCTAAACAATAGACTCTGTTTCAGTTAAAACTAGTAATTCAAGTAACCGCCAAAGATAGAATACTACTAATAAACATCATATAATAATAATAGTAACACTTAATTTATTCTGGGACGAGTCCCTTTACAATAATGCAGAAATGTGCGCTAAGGATCCTCAGAGATTCATAAACATAAATATAGAGCAATCAAATAATCAAAATAAGTTACTTTCTAATTTAAATCAGTTAATAATAAAAAATAAAAATTGAAAATAAACGTGAAATAAAAATAATGAAGAACGGTCTAATAATTTATATACATATTTACAGTAGTAACTATTTACAATTTTATGGGGACTGGATGGATAAGAAATGATTGAACAGGCGGGATTTAAAGGTAGGAAGGGTATTGGATTGACGGATGTGGGAAGGGATGGAGTTCCATAGGGATGAGGATCGGATAATGAATGATCTGTTGAAAGCAGCAGTTCGGTGGGCCCTTATGTATTTCTCACAAGACCGGGAAAGAGTATTGCAGGAACGAATGGAGGAGCTCGGAAATGTATGAAGGTCGGTGGGATTGGATGACTTGAAAGAGGAAGGATGCCAGGACAGTTTACTCTATTATAAGAATTGTAAAACAATTTAAAATGTCCATTAATAAACATATCGGGGAAAACAAGGTTCGAGCCTTATGACTCGAGTCTTGCCGAGTCAGGAATGCTCGAGCAAGAGCCTTTTCGACTTAAGTCTTACAGCTTTCTGACTGAGCTCTTTTACAACACTAATAGCCTTAAATAACCTGCGACACCTTTTTCCTTTTGAAATCCGTAGACTACTAGTCACCTCCTTAATATTTCCCCACTTCGACTATTGCTGTACGGTATATGGGGACGTCTCTGGGGATCTTGAGGCGAAACTAAAACGTTTGATAAATTGCTTTGTACGATTCATCTTTGGGATTCCAAGAGACATTTCCTGTTTCTAAGAAGAGTTGAAATGGCTTTATCCTTCCTACCGCCGTAAGTATTTCCTGGCATCCTTCCTCTTCCAAGTAATTTACTCCAGCCATCCTTCATACATCTCTGAGCTCCTTCAATTTAAATCCTCAGTCCACTAGCGCAATACCTGTTCCCGGTCTTCAGATTTATATATAATGGCCCACCGAACTGAGGCTTCCGATAGATCTTTTATTATTCGATCCTCTTCCTTATGGAACTCCATCCCTCCCCACATCCGTCAATCCAAAACTCTTCCTACCTTTGAATCCAGCCTGTTCAATCATTTCTTATCCATCCAGCCATCATAGAATTGTAAATAGCTCCAATGTAAATATGTATATAAATTATTAGATCGTTTTTCATTATTTTTACTTCATGTTTTATTTTTTATTATTAACCGATTTAAATTAGAAAGTAACTTATACATTCTTTTATTGTTTTTTTATTCTGACTATTTAATCAAACTATATTCTTGTTTATGTATCTCTGAGGCTCCTTTGCCCACATCTTTGTCTCTCTGTATTATTCTAAAGGGACTTGTCCTGGAATAAATAAAGCATTATTATTATTATTATTATTATTAATATTAAGCTCTTGCTATTTATTAAGTATAGATTAGATAAAAAAGTCACAAACCAATTCTAAAAAGTACCTATAAAATTATGAATAAAATTGCATTGGAACGGGTAAGACTTGTATAAATAAAACCTTTGCTTCGTTATAAAAGCTGGTAATAAAGGAAGATACTTACCCCAAATCGTGATGAGATATAAGAGAGTCTAATTGAGTGTAGTGAGACGGATCAGAAGCATAGCGAACATGCTGACTTGTGGCAATGTGAGCATCTAACTGATCGTAATGCACCCTGCACATCTGAAAGCCACAAAAATAAGAAAATCAATTATCTCCGTCAATTCAATAGAATAAATCGCAATGTCTGCCTAAAGAGAATCGAAGATAACATAGATTTCAGACCAATTTATAAAATGCATTTGATCAATTTATTTTTATGTTGAGGTTACAGACCTTGTAGACATCTTGTGAACTGCTGGTTCAAATTTATTGAAAGCCTAATTTCAATAATAATTTATATTATTATTTCAACACAATTACCTCGCAATAGCCATTTCCTCCAGCAGCAACTGATGAATCCTTTCCCACCTTCCCTCCTCTCCTTGTCATCCTATAGGAAAATTACATTTATTTATACTGGAGTTAATGAGTTGTATACTTATATGGTGATAGAACACTTAATATAAAAATTATATGAGTCAATGATACACATTGAATACAGTGAAACCTTAATAAGCTGATAATGTAATGAGACAAATAGATCAATAAGAATAAAACTCTAATAAATTTTATAAAATCTAAAATTTAGTAAATTAAGAATAAAAATTCAAGTAAAAAAAAAAAAAATATATATATATATATATATATTAAAAATCATTTACATCTTTCAATAAAATTAAACTACAAACCTTTGGGGATCATTCTTGGACAAAGGTTTTGGAAATGCAGTAGGTTCATCGCCATTAAATGAAATCCTCGGCCAAACTCGAAATTGCCTGAAATCAGGTCTACCACAACCGGTCTCTAACTTCAAATAATGTCCTCTCAGTTCTCGGATTCCTTTAGGATCTTTTACTTCTTTTCTTGCTATTTTCTCCAACCACACTAGAAACTAAACAACAACAAATTAGCCTACTGCCTGTAAAAATTAAACATATTTAAATTATGATCTAGAGATGGTTGACCGTTGATATAAAATGAGGAGTTGATCGGGGGGGAGGAGGGGGAGGGGTGCGGTCAAATTAATACTAAATTAAACAAGTAAAATTATTTAATTTTTGCCGACTTTTCGACCCACTTTGCAGGTCTTCGTCAAGGCTACAAAAGATACAAAACATAATAAAAATTATATAAATGAATATAAGTAGATATAAAATAAGATTAAATTGCCTGATACAGAAATAAAAAGATGATATCTGAGATATAGTGGGTGACAATGTAGTTAAAATATCAAGTATTATTATTTTTATATATAGTATTATTATTTATTATTGTGTCTTCTACATATAATACTTGATATTTTAACTACATTGTCATCCACTATATCTCTGATATCATCTTTTTATTTCTGTATCAGACAACTTATTCTTATTTTATATCTACTTATATTCATTTATTTTATTTTCACCATGTTTTGTAGCCCTGATGAAGACCTGCAAAGTGGGTCGAAACATCAGCAAAAATTAAATAATTCTACTTGTTTAATTTAGTATTAATTTGACCATAACAAACTGCAGAACCATCCAAATCCTCACGTTTCAAACCTTGCTTCCTCCTCGATCCCTGATAATCCTCCGAGGCGTCTGAAAAGAAGATGGCCTCGGGACCTTCTAATATAGAACTTTAATTTGAGTTCTACCAATGGATAGTTTCTCTTCATGTTGTACATGTCATGTTACCAATGTCACATTTACTTATTGTATTTTCCATGTAATACAGTTGTAAATCTCAATAAAATAAAATTTAAAAAAAGAAAATTTGACCGCACCCCCCCCCCCCCCCCCGATCAACTCCTTCTCAGATTTAAATTAGTTTTTTTAAACTTGATTTCCAGAGAGTTATTACAGAAAATCTAAAACTATTTCTTTAAATTAATATAAGATAGGCAACATAGAATTATATAACATAAATGAGGATAATAATTAGTCAACCAATATAAAAAAAGTTTTTATGTTTTGGAAAAACTCAATATAATTAAAATATGAATAAATTATATTCGATCATTTTATATAATTTTACAAATATTTGCTTATAATTAATTTTTATAAGTATATTTTTCAACTGCATCACGTAAATCTGCATATTTTGAAAATTAGATTATTTTATTTTTTGAAACCTTGAATTATATTGTGAGAGAAAATACTTCTCTTAGATTATCTGTCAAACAGGAGAAGGAGAATTTACATTTATTTTAAAGAACAATGGCCAGAAACAGAGCCGGTAGCAGGTGGGAGTAATACGGCCTTGACAAAAATGTCCTATTCTTCAGCTGAGATCTAACTGTTAGCGTTGACTACTATTCAAATCTAGATAAATTATTCCACAAATAAATAACAGAGATACTGGAAACATGAAAAACAGTTAACTGCTAAATGAATGATCAAAAGTTTAAAACTGTTGCTGCATTATTATAAATTCATTGTTTGTTTTTTTAAATAAATTTATTATTGTTATACTAATGATTTTTAAAACTATTTATATAATAAAAATTAAATAATTTAAAAACTATATATATATATATATATATATATATATATATATATATAAATATATAAATCAGGTTACCCCTAATTAAAATCCCAAAACCAATAGACTTTAAAACAATGTAATATGTATAAGCATTTAAACTGCTTGAATACTCATTTGAAGAAATGTTAAATTAATTTTGAATAAAACAAACATTAAAAAAAGATCAGAGTTATATAAATTCAGACAATAATAATTTGTGATATCAGAGGAATGCCATAGCTATGACAATTATCTTCAAGATCACAACAACAAAAAAAAAAAAAGTTTAACTGTCAAATGTAAGATCATTGAGGTTTACTAAACTTATTTTCTAGTCACAATATAATAAATAAAATAGGGACAATTAATTCTTTAATATAATTCATCGAATGGGAAACATTTTATCAGTAAAGATTGTGTTCAGATTTGGCAGTGATAAAAAAAAGTCACTTTTGGGTGAGGCAGTGATATATGAGGCCAAATTTATGTTAGGCAATGATAAAGAACATGTTATTTAGGTTGAGCCAAGATAAAAGAAGCCACACTTAGGTTTGACAGAGATAACAGATGTCACATTTAAATATATAAAATATAATAAATATTACATATAAATTTGATATATTAAATATTATATATAAATATAATAAATAAAATAGGGACAATTAATTCTTTAATATAATTCATCGAATGGGAAACGTTTTATCAGTAAAGATCGTGTTCAGGTTTGGCAGTGATAAAAAAAAGTCACTTTTGGGTGAGGCAGTGATAAATGAGACCAAATTTATGTTAGGCAATGATAAAGAACATGTTGTTTAGGTTGAGCCAAGATAAAAGAAGCGACACTTAGGTTAGACAGAGATAACAGATGTCATATTTAGGTTAGGCAAAGATAAAGGAGGCCATATTTAGGTTGGGCAGTGATAAAATAAGTTGCATTTAGGTTAGGCAGTGATAAAATAGATTTATTATTGTTTTAAATTTCAAGTTTTAATTATCTTAGGAAAATTAATAAACTTCAAAATTACCTTGGTATAGGAATAAATAGGAATGCCCCATCCAACAGCACTGTCTAAGATATCAAGAGTTGCCTTCTGCGGTTGCTGTCTCACCTTCTCAAGCATGGCTTCCGCCCTTGAACGCTGCACAGAGAAATTAACATAAATAACTACAAATATCCACACATACTTAGATTGAGCACCAAAAATAGAGGATCAACTTTGGCAAGAAAAATAAATATAAAAATATACTTGATCCAAACAAAGTAAAGTTTTTTATTCTTTATTTTTGTTGTGATCAAGCTTATCTACGATTTTATCAATAATCTAGGCTAAGTTCTTAAACTCAGTGCTGAGTTCATCGATGTGATCAAATCCATCTCTAAACTGCTCTTAACAATGCCATAAATGTGCCCAAGGCTGAGTTTACGGACTCACTCATAGCATCTGAACATTATTGTAGGACATATAAAGAAATCTATGATTGATAAAAATGTCATATATATATTAAAATATAAATATTTATCCAGATTTCTTAATAACAGATCCATTTAATTGAGATTCTAAATGTTTGATATGTTTGCTATTAATTTATCCCAATAATACAGTCACTAATTTTTCTCAATATTAAACAAATAGAAACACTGAAAACTGTACAGGATATTCACTGACACCTTCATAACAAAATGCTTTACAAATAGGCTTTTTTTTATTTAAATGGTTTTCCCTTTTGGCATAACAGACAACGTAGACCTTTGCCGCCTTAACAAGCATACTTCATCTTTGCCTGGCATGGGCTATTTCTTTCCACTTGTCTATACGCAGCTCTGTTGATTATATCTATCCATCTGCTTTTTGGCCTGCCACGTGGTCTTTTGCCTTCAAGATATTCACCATTACGTAGAGGCTTCCAGATGGATTGCTACGAGCTACATGCCCATCTTAACCTCCATACCTTCATATCATGGGATATTGATTGACCAGTTTCTGTGAGCAGTTTTTTATTGTTTTTTCCATGTATTAGTGCTCTGATTGCTCAGGATATTGTTTGGAGGATTTTTCTCTCAAATCCTTCAATACTTTTTTCTACGGTCCTGGTTAGTGTCCAGGTCTCGCAGCCATTTATTAGAACTGGCTTTATCATAGCATTTTACACCCTTAATTTGAGATTTATTGAGATTTTTAATATCTTTAAAAGGGAGAAGAAAGCTCTATTTGCGCTAGTTATACCCTGGTATATTTCAGACCGTAGGTCATTCACTTAGGTTAATGTGGAGCCGAGGTATTTGAATTTTTCTACTCTCGGGGAGAATTTTTATTACTTACCTTCTCCACGGCTAAGTTGAACAACGTCAGTGATAGCCCATCACCCTGCCGTAAGCCTGTTCGAACTTTGAGGGCTTCAGATACTTGTCCTTGTATTAGGACTCTACATTTGGGGTCATTTGTACATGCCTTTATCAACCTCACCACTTACTGAGCATTCCTAGTTTAGTCATGATTTTCTAAAGACAGTTTCTGTCCACAGAATCATAAGCAACTTTGAAATCGACAATAGGGCGTGGACATCCTGAGCTACTTCCCATCGTTTTTCGTTTTAGGATGAAGATCTGGTCTAGCATGCTCCTCTGAATGTATGAATCTGAATGTATTTCTGAATACAGCTTGCTAATCACCTATTATATTCTCGGAATACGGATATATCCGCTTTAGTAGGATATTCATCATTATGTTGTAGGCAATCAGGAGTGCTATGCCTCTGTAATTACTACACTCATACATGGAGCGTTTCCTCTTCTCTTCCAATATTTTCTGGATTAGTTGTAGTAGCTCGGTTCTTAAGTCGTCTCTTAGGTTGTCTATTCCTGGGGCATTTCTTGTTTTGAGCCTTTCGATAGCTATTTCTACATCCAGTATACCCGTTTTTTTAACCGCTTCTGGATCAAGGTCATCGGTGTGGTCCATGTTTTGTTCGTTCGTGGGGTCCTCCTGATTGAGAATTTATATAAATTTGAATAAATTTTGTTTTTTTCAATAAGTAAAAAAAAAACGAAGTTAATAAATGATACACATATTAGCTTTAAAAAACAATCTACTTAAATTAGAATATATTTATGAAGATTATTGAACTTAGTACTCCAATTATGACAGGTTATTCAATATGTTACCAATCAAACTATTTCAGCAGGATAGAAACTTAGAATTAATTCAGTGGGCTTGCTACAAAACGAAAGATTACCAAACCAAGCCTCAGACATATTCAGAATATATTTCAAAATAAATAAGTAGCTGGAGGGGGGTAGGGGGAGGGTGCAGTCAATCGCAAGTTAAAGGATCCAAAAAATATTTATTTTTTTCGTACTGATGTTTTGGCCAAAGTTTTAGGTCTTTAATCAGGACTAAGGAAAGACAAGCCAACACAAATCATCAAGAAAAAGAAAGAAAACATATTAACAAGGAAATAAGAAGATAAAATGGTATTTATTAGAAATATCATAGCATTTTTCATATTATTTAATCAATAATGGGTTTTCTTAATGGTACATGTTATCTTGCATTTACTTGGTTACGATGATGGCTAAAACTTAGGCCTTAACTGATAGTTCGCATAAAAAAAAATTGTTTTGTGTATTTTCACTTTTGACTGCACCACCAAACAAATTTTACTAATTGATACAATTAATTTAAAGTTAGTTATCACTGATCCTTGTTTATTAAGCTTATTTTTATTTAAAGCCCCTATCAGAATTTTGTTTTAATTAAAACTTTGTTATGTTATCTAACTAATTAAAAGTAATATATTGTTTGCAATGAAATAATTTTATTTAAAAGGAATGGGGATCAGATAATTTAAAAAAAAAAAAGATAAAGAAGACTCATTTTTATAAAATAAAAGACAAATAGAAAACTTTGTTAGTAATTAAAATCCAATGGAAATATCTTTGTCTTGGGAAATATATTCATCAGTGTTACAAAAAAAAAAAAAAAAAAAATATATATATATATATATTTTAACACCAACTTTTTCACATTCATCAAGAAGAGAATAAAGTTAGAACATATCAAAGCACAAACTACAATGCAATTATTAGGATATAAATTAATTTATTTTACTTACTTCATGCATTGTTATTACTTATTGTATTACTTACTGTTCTTTTAGAAATGACTCCATCCCCAGGGGAGTCGGTAGTAGCAGGAGAGACAGAACAGAATGGCGAAGGAGTGACCAGTCCCCTCGGTGTGTTCCTACCAACCTGCTGATTCCTCGACGATATGTATTCATCACGGTCTGTCACCACGCAGTAGACATCCTTTACGAGGAATAATTCTACACCCTAAAGAAAAATACAGATTATATTCCTCTATTAGTTAATAATAATAATTCATTTTGATCATCAATACCAATAAAATAATAACTATCATTATTATAACAATCCTTAATATTGATGACAATATAAAAGCACATTTTATAGATATTTCGCACAGGGTGCCCTATTCGGTACACAGGTATAAAATGTGAACTCTATGAAACAAAAAAAATAAATAAATAAAGAAGAACCTACAATACTACCTGGTAAAATTAGAAACGTGTTAAGATTAAATGTATTTGAGTCATCAGTACATCAGTAGTAAAACTAGAGTAGCTTTTAATAATTTTGACAAGGTTTTAAATGTATTACATTTTCTACAGTATTTTAATTTATGGCACTGACTAAAGTTTGAAGTGCAAATACGTAAAATGAGGAAAAATTGCAAATTTCATCAATAATGAATACAATTTTAGCATATAAAATTTTTCTAACCGAAGTAGTGAAATGATAACCAACTATTTAATGAATAGTACTAATTAAGAACTACAACTACAATCTCATCAATAAAATTAGTTGGTGTCTTTCAACATTAAGCAAAGAAACCGAAAAGCAAACTGGTATGAAGTAATACCAGAAACTAGAACAATTGTTTACAAATAAGCCTGTTAAAATCCAGGACATGAAGATTACTATCAGTCCTCATTAAATAATATCCCTAGCCTATTGAACAGAATCTCAATATTAAAAAAAAAGATATAAAAATATATAAATAATTTAATTATTTATTATAAATAAGAAGTGATTGAGATAGAGAATAATGGTGGCATGTACCCTAACCAAACAACACCAAAAGGTTTGAAATACGTCCCCAACTTCCGCTATCAGATACATACATATATATTATAAATATTATATATATATATATTTAATTTATTTCATATATTATAAATATTATATATATATATTTAATTTATTTCATATATTATTATTATCATCAATGTGTTTATTACAAGAAGAAAATAGTTCCCAATACTGCTTATAATTCACAATTTTACGGGAGAACAATAGATATCTAAGGTGAGTTATATTAATATTATTCTGTATATATATGAAATGCTGCTTATCGCATTAATATGAAAAAGCAAAAAAAAAAAAAAAAAAAATCATTGTACATATATTTAATATTATCACTAAGAAAGATAAGATAGCAGCTAAGGGAATTGTTTTTCCATTTTACAAAGAAGAATGGAATACCCAAAATAGCAATATATATTTGGTAATTGATATCATAATTCTAGAAAATGTAACTAGGTAAACATTTTTAAATTATTTTAATCTAAACAATACTTTTATACAAAACAAATTAATGACAAGTGCATTCTAGAGTAAAATAATGTGATTTATATAAGTAATAAATATAATATACTTTGAAAACACTTAATAATCACAACTGAAATTCTAATAGGGGACACTATGTAAACAAATATTATTATATTAATAAACAAAACTAATGCCTCACCAAGCTTTAATAATTTAGTAAATATTTATACGTATTTGAGCAGCAAAGATAAAAATGAATTCATAAACAACCAAACCCCAACAAAAAGACTAAAGCCAAACATTAGTCACTAACACAAAATGGCCCCCAACCAAAACAAACCGGGAAACCGGTAACAGTTCTTGTACCTCACTGTTGCTATCTCAAAACAGCATTTCAGCATCATATCATAACTGTGATTACACATAATTCAAGGGAGGATTGGCCTATTCAATAATCTTTCTTAAGAATATTTAAAAAAAATAAATAAAAATGAAATTTTATAATCTACAAATCTATAAAGGAATCTAAATATGTAACCACATAAATTTAAATCACAGCTAAAAATTATATATAGTAAACATGATTCTTTTATTAATGTAAATAAAAATTGATATTCTTAATATAAATCACAGACAACTAATTTAAAATACAAAAATAACAGATCGATTCATACTGATATTAATTAAACTATTTATAGGTAATTATCAAAGAAATATAAACTAATAATCTTTTTCTTTTAATGTTATCAAAATTTCTTTAAGGGAAAAATAAATAAATAAACTCATATACAAACTTATCATTATTTGAAATAACTGATTTATCAGTATTTGAACTGATTTCAAAAACAGACACAAATTAATTATGATTACTACCGCCAGGGGAACACTAACAAACTATGCATAACAGTAATGAACATAACTTCATCTGAATGAAAGGAATATAAACAAATAAAAATGTACTAATTGAGGGCCTTTTAGAATAATTAAAATCCTGTCATAGGGAGCTTCTTAATTAAAACAAATTAAGAAACACCAAACATAAATCTTTAAATTAAATTAAATTTTAAAATGTACAAAAAGGATTTCAGTAGACAAATTTCTTTATACAGGAATATACCTTATTATACATTGGAATAAAATAGGAACTACTAATAACTTTGCTTCTGAATGATATTATCTGATATAAATAATTGTTAGAATTGTTACTTACTGCGCCAAGGGATGTAAGTTTATTTTCAATTTTCTTCAAAGTTGCATGATTCTTAATGTCTAAATAAAACTTCTTATTTGACAAGGGCTTTGAAGTCTTTATCCTTCTCGAATCTATTAAAAAATACAAAACCAAAATAAATAAGCTTGCCATAACACTTTTACTTTTCACTTAAGTTCATTGCCTGTCATGTGAATTTAACATGGTTAATAACAGGTTATAAAGTTGACAAGTGATAAATACTATGACCTAACTATAATATAACTTCAAAATATTAAACTATTGTGTAAACTGAAAATGTAAATTATGAAATACTCATTACTTGTTATATATAATTCATAAATAACAAAAATGTAATGACTTGACTGATATTTTAATCTTATACATACATTGCCAGAAATCTTAAGGGAGTGAAAACAGAAGGTAAGAGTCATATATATGAATCAAACCTTTCATAAAATAAAATTAATCAAATTCTAAAATAGGTGATTTCTTTAATATCAAAGAAAATATAGTTAACTGCAGGAAGTAAATGAATGTAGCTTACCCAGGCTATTTTTGGGAGGATTGGCTTCAAGTGTAACCCTTCCTTTTCTTTCTAACTTTTTCTTCTTGTATGGTGATACCATTACTCCAAATTGCAGAAACAGCTTACATAAAAACTTCTTAAGAAATCATAATATTTAATAAATACGATTCGAATATAATGTTGAAAATGCGGTAGGTGTGAGAAGTCAAAACAAAACTAAAAAAAAAAAAATAACTTCTTTTCCAAACACAATCACTGTTAAACTCTCACGAATACTTCTATTAAATACAATTTAATTCGTCGCTAGTGAAACGACCCTCCATGACAGTATAGCCGCAATGGTTGAAATAAAGGAGAGAACGGGAACAGTTACACTACTCCACTCAACTCCCAACTCTGCTCCGTTCACCTCAAACGATGGATGAAAAATGGTTTCATTTACTTGATCACAATTTTTTTTCAAATTAATCGAGTTCTTTTCTAGGTTTCATATCACTCCTTAATAAAGTAGACACTTATTTTACTTAATTCTACACAAAAACACAAAATTTAAACTTAATATACAGCAGAAGCTGTTTACGAGCTCTTGACGGTTATCACCTCTAATCCACTGCCACCTATAGCGAAAACTTTTCTTTGTGGAGAATACGTCTATAAATTATTTTATTCAAGTTATGTAGTTATGACAACTAACTTTACACAATAAATTTTAAAAGGTATTTTTTATTTTGATTATTTAGATATGATACAATAAGTTTACATTAAAAATTTGATGTATCTTGATTTTGAATTTTTTTCAAACCTATTGAGCGCTTATCTAATTCTACATACCAGGATGGAGTTCGTTCTTATCAATTTTGACTTTTGTGATAAGTAATTCAGGTGTAATCAAACTGTGTTCAGACTTTGATTTAACGTTTAAAACCTCTAAATAAAAATGCTTGCTAATAAGCTTGCCTTCGTTACTGGTAAGTTAATTCTCCCGAATTAAATATATTTTTCTTCATTTTTTTTTATATTTTAAAATATTGACCCAATTTAGGGTATTTTAAGTTATTTAATAATGGCATCGATTTTTTTATAGGAGCTGGTAGTGGAATTGGTCGAGCAACTTGCTTAGCTTTCTGCAGAGAAGGTGCTAAAGTAATTGCTTGTGATAAAAATGCTAAATCAGCACAAGAAACCTTGAACCTTCTTTCAGGTAATAACTTTGTTTTATAATGGAAAATAATAACAATCACTCAGTGATATTCAATTTGTTCATTATTGTTGCTGTATTTTGTAAATAAACTCATGTATTCTTGACCTCTCTGTTCTGGTGAGAATAGGTTGGTAATCTGTGAGTAATATGCTCTTCCTGTCTTCAGAAACTGATATTTTAAAATTAACTTAATAAAATACCAGTTTAATGGATTTTTGATTTTATTTACCTACCGATCAGATCATTTTAAGCATTTTAATGGTGTATTAATCACTAATTATTTTTTATAACGAAAAATAGACATTTGACCCATGACTATGCATTTATATGAAGTAGTGTTCTTAATATAGCATTGTGGATACATATAGACTAATGCAAATACAAAATTAATATCCAAGAGAATTCATTCCCAAAACAAATGATAGTATTTATTTTAAAGAATAATTAATATTAATCTGTACCATTTGTAGTTTGTTGATAACAATTCTTTGGTAATTCTTCTGATTTTTCAGCATCACTTGTATTATTATTACACATATAGTTTGTGATTACCTACTGAATTAAAATTATAAAATTAATTTTCAAATTGGTATTTACTAGTTCAGGATAATTGATTTTTTTTATTAATATGTATTTTTGGGTTGGATTTGATGGTTCCACTAAAAAAAAGGATCTCTTGAAAATTACTTAATCTTTTTTTTTTTTTTTTATTATTTCAATGGAATTTACAACTGTATTACATAGAGAATACAATAAGTAAATGAGAAATTTGTAACATGGCATGTACAACATGAAGAGAAACTACCCATTGGTAGAACTCAAATACTTAATCTTAAGTTCAGATAAAATAAATAATTATAAGGCTATTCATATACTATTTAATATCACTAAAGATTCGTCATGAATACCATATGACAATTTAAGTTCTCCTTATTTATTTTATATACATATAATATTTACTTCATATTTACTTACACAAAAAGCTTTTTTTGCTGGACATATTCATCATAGCCATATTCATAGTCATTTCTATTGAAATATCGTCATTTAAAAACATTCAATTTAAACATTAAATTTTATATATGTATATAATTTAATGTATAATTATATAATTTCCATGCAATTTAATGATTACAACCTCATAACTTAGTTTGTTATTCTGTTACTGGGAATGTAGTTCATTTGAACATTATTTATCATATGAATTATTTCTGAAATTATTATAGTTGGAATTCTCAATGTTTAGTTTTTTTTTTCAAAGAATTTTATATTTTAATTTTATTTTTATTCTCAATATTGTTTTAAAAAATTATAATAGCAAATACTAATTAAAAATAACCTAGAAAACATAGAAAAATAAATTTAACAAACTATATTTCACTTATGATTTCAACAATAACAATTTTAAGAATAATGCAGTCAATGAACAGTGTTCAATTAAACAATATTCCTAATGGAACTGGAAATTAAGGTATGAGGTGGTAATTAATTTTTGTTTCAATTATATAATTACTTATTAAATTATGTTCATTATAAATTATATTTCAATAATAATTGGACAGTATTTCAAATGAAATATTTTAAAATAATGTTTGTATTTCACATTTTATAAAGTAAAACTATTTTCTTTTTAAAATACAAAAAAAATATTTATTTTCACATCTTTTCCGAGATTCATAAATGCAAAAAATATTTTTCATTTTGACATAGAAAAAGCATTTGATAGCGTCTGGCACAAGAGCCTGTTATGTAAATTAAAACCGTACTTACCTTCTACTTATTTTCTAATTCTTCAATCCTTCTTTCTTAACAGTTTTTTCTGTGTATCCGTAGATTCTTCTTTCTTCCTTCAACACATTGGCGTACCACAAGGTAGCGTCTTAAGTCCAATTCTCTATTCGCTATTCACCTCTGATATCCCTGAGCACCCTAGCACCACCCTCTATTGCTTTGCTGACGACGCTGCAATTCATTGTTCCCACAAAAACCCTACTATCGCATCAATTGCTCTTCAAAACCATCTCTGTGATCTTCAAGAATGGTTCAAGAAATGGATAATTAAAATAAATAGTAGTAAATCCACTCTCGTGGCTTTCTTAGGAAAGCCTCATGTCCACCCATAACAATTGACAATAACCCTGTGCCTATAAAAAACTATGTATGGTACCTTGGACTCTACTTAGTCAAAAGACTTACCTTGAACATACATACTAAATTAAAAAGACAAGAACTGACTAGACGGTATAACCAACTCTCGCATCTTCTTGACTACAGATCCTCACTTAACTTATGAAACAAGTGGCTGATCTACAATACCATACTGAGACCAATTTGGACACACGGAGCAGAACTTTGTGGTTCGGCAAAACAAACACACATTAATAAAATACAAACAACTCAGTAAAAAATTTTATGAAAAATTGTCAATGCAGCTTGGTACATTTCAACTAACTATCAATTCTAAAAAAGCCCCTTCCCCCCCTCCAAAAAATAATTTAAAATCCTGAATCTGGTTGTGATAGAGATGAATATAGTGCTGTCTCTAAATTAAAAATTCCACATGATAAAATAAGTATAAAATAAATGAGTAATTTTATAAACACCGTCTTCCTTTCCATAATGAGATTTATCTCATCATTGTCTTACAATAATCATTAAAATATTTGATTTGCGAGTCAATGATTTGATTAATTCAGATATGCCCTAAATTCTAAAATATTACAAGGTTAAGTATCCTGAAAATCATAAATAATTCAAAATGGAACTTGTGTAAAATAGAAAATAAGTAATTGAGACTGTTATATGCTATCTAACATGAACCTACAAATTGGTAAATTAAATAAAAAAATAAGTTTATTTAATTTTGTAAATAACTTGTATAAATATTTATGTTATTATCTTTGTTGTGTTATAGTGGGAATAACCTGTAAATAATGAAGGATAAATTATGCTCTTCTGTTTAGAACCAGAATCCCATTTGGGTTTAGAGATCGATGTTAGTGATAGAGAATCTGTTACTAAGGCTTTACAGGCAGGTTTAAAGAAATATTCTAAGCCTGCTAATGTTATCGTCAATTGTGCTGGTATTACAAGAGATGATTTTCTACTTAAAATGGACCCTGCAAAATTTCAGGAAACCATAAATGTCAATCTTACAGTAAGTATTATCTTTATAATGTAATTATTGCCACCATCGGTTTTTATGTTATATATTTTTTTCCCCTCTATTTCAAGGGTACGTACAATGTTGTTAAAGAAGCATGCACGATTCTAGTTGAAGAAGACGAACCAGGGAGTGTTATTACAGTAGGAAGTATAGTAGGCCAGATGGGAAATATTGGACAAGCCAATTATGCAGCTAGTAAAGCAGGCGTTGAGGCTTTGACGAAATCTGTTTCAAAAGAATTAGGCATGTATGTAATTGCTTGGTCATATTTATTTTTATATTTGATCATCATACTGGACTGAAACGACAAGAAACCGCTCGACGGTTCTGATTACTTCAGCACTTACTGGAAAAACGCTCTAAACTTCCAATTAATTACAAAAGACTATAATACATGACTATAATAAGGCCTATTTGGACTTATGGAGTTGAGCTATGGGGCTCCACTAAACCATCGAATTCCTCTTGTATCCAATCCTTACAATCCAAAATCCTCAATGCTCCCTACTTTGTTACAAATAAAACCATCCATAATGGCCTTAATGTTTCTTTTGTTTCAGATCTGGCTCAATCCAGATACATATCCTTCCATAATAAACTTCAGAATCATCCCAACCCTATTGTTTTTAACCTTGCTTTCCCTTCAATTCCTGATAACCCTCCGAGGCGTCTGAAAAGAAGATTGTCCCGTGATCTCCTAATGTAGACATATCATTAGAGATCTATCATTAGGTAGTTACTCAGCAAGTGTTTTCATGTCATTATATCCATATGTTGAAATTTACTAGATGTATTTATATAATACAGTTGTAAATATCATTAAGAAATAATAAAAAAAAAAATATTTGATCATAAACTCAACAATTTGGTGTAATCCATGCTGTTTATGTTGCGGATAAATGTGTGGTACACCAATATCATAAATCAGTGTTCATAAATCCATTTTTTCTGTAACTGTAAGTCCAAGTACTTTTCACTGGTAATTTGAAACTTTTAAGATTTTAAAATCATCTGAAAAAATCGTGAACAGTTATATTTATATTTTAGGTTCAGGATCAGGTGTAATGCAGTGATACCTGGCTTTATCGAAACTCCCATGACTAATACTGTTCCTGATCAAGTAAAAAGTATGTTTATGAAGATGATACCTCTTGCTCGCTTTGGAGAACCTCGAGGTTAATGCAACTATTTATCATTATATTTATTTAATTTTTTTTTAAATGTTGGTTTTTCAAATACTGTTGATACTTATAGTGATAAGGCTTAAGGGTGTAAGTAAAAAAATAACTAATTTTGGAATGTGTAAAAAATAACAATTATCGATCATTTTGTTGTTACAATTAAAAAAATCTGGTGAGGTGCACGCATCACACAACTTTCACTTACCACCCTCTTAGCAGAAATTAGTATTTTCAGGCAAAGGAGAAGAAAAAGTAAAAATTATAGACAGTATATTTATATTTCATTGTGGGTATTTAAATTTACATAAGTACCCTTATATATACAAATTTTAATATTTATATAGCTGTAATCTATACAATTAAATATTAAATAATACCAACAATAGCATTTATGAAACCATATATGTATATTTACATAACATTATTGGAATCCTAATTATATTAAGCTCATGTTATGTATGGAAGCGTATTCTAATCTTTCTGGCGAGCTCGTATTCCTTTGGTTCCTCAATTACAACTGTTCTCCGTTACGATCTCTTATTTCTCCTTTAGTTAATTATCAAATTCTTTCATATTTTATATTTAACTATCTTTTATATTAGAGATCAATAGGAAATGGTTAATTGTTTTAAATAAAAAAAATTACAGGTACTTTAGAGGAAGCTGATGTTGAAAATTAGTCATTTAAGCTCTGTTAGAGAACATCAAGCAGAATAAAACATACATTTTATTTAAAACTGCTTAATTTTACACTGCTATAATGAATTTAATCAAAATCGTTAGAGCCATTTTTGAGAAAATTGTAAAAATGTATTTAGTCCATGATATAAAGTGCCACTTCCGGTTTGCCGATTTTTATGAAAAAGCTGCTGTAACATCGCAAGTATATAAAAACCTTAAATATGAAATTTCACTTTCATTGGATTTTTCATTTTGGAGATAGACTGTTAACACACACAGACCATTTTGTGGGACTTGGTTATTTCGACTCAGGGGATCTCAAAACAGGTATTTCCGTTGAAAACTCAGATTCGACATTTTTCACGATCGCAGCAATACTCTCCCTTACTATATATTTCATAAATAAGTAAGTGAAAGTAAAAAAAATGCAAAATAAATCTATTAATATATTTCTGAGTTATTTTTTTCTCTAGCGGTCGGAATTCAATTAAAAAATAACCTCATTTTGTGATTAATAATCTTATAGCTTATCACACTAGATTTCTTACAGCTTTGCATTTTAAGTTCAATTCCACCACTACGGCCCCGCCCCACCTTTGTTGAAGAATCACAGTTTCCTTCTTATTTATTTAGACAATTAGAAAAAGTAAATAAGCTCCTATGGCTGATACAAAACATTAAGACTGTAGTTGGTGTTATCATTATGTTATGTTTACGACATATGTTACCGATTCTGAATTAAGTATCTTTCCCTGCATTTATTTTATAAAATATTCGATAATTCTACTTGATAGAATATCCGATATTGTAGTTTTAACGTTACCAAGATCTATTGCTAATAATATTCCAATTTTATTATGACTATACTGTTCTTTGAATTGAAAAAAAAGAAGAAAACTTGGTAAACAATGAACTAGTTATATTTTTAGATTTGATGAAGTCTCTGTTGTTCCTAATATGAAAATAAAGCTAATTATTTTGCTGTGAATAGCTTCCTAATCACCACACACTTAACGATCTTAAGATACAAACTGTTTCTACAATTCCACTACTATCTTCTACTATTGCGCAATGTTTGTTTTATTACCTACCTCATTATCTATTTTTATAAATGGATTTCACTTATTTAAACATATGGTGTAATTATCATAAAAATAATAAATTTGAACATTTTATTTATAGACATGATTATATTATAACTCTTTTTTTGTTTGATTACATCCTGTACAAGGAATCTTTATTTCTTATATATTATTAAAGAAAGTCTTGTTATAACATAGACTCCATGAACTTGAGCGTAGGGAGTATTTTTGTAGGTTTGAAAGGTTTTTCTGTAGTTACTGATACCAATTAACATAAAATATGCAGAAGCAAACATAATTACTTTTTTTAAAACATTCATTAAATATTAATGTAATCTACTGTAAATATACTAATCTGCATGTAATCTTAAAATTCATTGATTTTTTAATGATTATTTTTATTTAAAACATTTAATTCAATGAGATAGAAAAACAATTCTAGTCAAGAATATTCATACCTTTTTATCATACATTAGTGAATCTGATATGAATAAAATGAAATTAAAACATACTGCATGAAATTGCTATTGTTCTATTGAAATATTGTTATCTTATTTAGTGTTTTTAATTTTATTTATTTCTTTGTTTTGCTAGAGGTGGCTGAAGTTATTACATTTCTTGCTTCTGATCGTAGTTCCTACGTTAATGGAACCATGGTTAAGGTGAGTGGTGGATTGTAATGCTCTCTTTAGAACAACTGTTATGTTCGCAATGCCCAAATTTTGTTATTTTTTTATTTTTATGAGGTTGTGATAAATAAAAGATTGTTGATTTTTTTTTTCTTTTCTTTTTTCCCTACTCCACCTGCGTGATTGATGTGTACATATGAGGTCATTGTTTCTTCAAGCGGCAGCACTCCTTATCTGGTTTGATTTATTGTATTTAGTTTTTTTTAAGCGTAATATTTTTTAAATTTTGCAATATTTATTGGACTGGGTTACTAGGCATTTTAGCAGTAGTTGCTCATTCGTTCATTGAACAGTGACGTCTTAAAGTCTCATTACTTTGCAATTTTATTTTTTAAGTTTTAATTTTTTTGATAGTATGGCTTCTTTTAATTGTGTTACTTCAGCCATAATTAAAGGTTATTCCTGTAAGTAGTGATTTATTATTTTTTTAAATTTTCATATTAAATTCCAGATTGCTGGATATTGCATTTTGACTCTAAAATATGGTTTTAAATTTAAATACTATTTATGAAAATAATTTCTATGATACAATCGGAAGATTCTAAAAACCGTAACTTATAGTCTCTATAATTAAATCACTAACCTTGACATTTCGGTTTAGTTTTATTATATTATCCCATTATTAGCATCCTAAAGGCAGAAAAAATAGTACCACATATAAGCTGAAAAATACAGCTCATCTCACATTTACACCACACACATACACCAATTCTATGCTGGCAATTATTTTATGCCAATTTTATAGCTTTTTCACTTTTGTGTTAATGTATAGTATTTCTTTTGATTATAACTTTTATATTTTCTATAAAGTACTTGCTTATTGTTATAGTAATAGAAGTATTATCCATATTTTTTTTATGAGATTTTATATTTGTTTCTTAGTTAAATTAATTGATAATGTAAAAATGAAGTTATTTCACATCTCTAAATCTACTCTTGGAATGTTTTTTCATATTCATAAGACTGAGAACTGAATTAGATGTACATTAGAAAGTTTGATAACAATGCTCTAATAACTCTCTTCCATTAATTATAAATTATATAGAACAGAAGTTGGTTGGGTTGTAATCCACTTTTATAAACTATATAGCTTTATTCATTAATCATTTGACAGTGATTGTGTTAATTTTACATTCATTTTTTATAATTAATTATAATTCTTATTAAATATAAATTATGAAACTTTATGTTCATTCTCACTGATTTTCCATGTAGGTTGATGTTTAATAATTATCTAATTTTTAAATTAGGAAGATTTTTCATTGAGTAAATTAAAGTAGTTGTCATCAAAGTGAATTAATTAATAATATCATCCTCTTCCTTCTTTTTCTCACCTTTTTGGCTATTTGAGAGTATGCCAGGGCCAGGGGAGAGGGTGGTGGATTAATGCTGTTATACATTCATGCTGTACTGGGATTTGAATTATTAATATTCTGTTTATAAGGTTGAAGAGCAGGCTTTAGTCCATTAGGGCATCTCTCTCCCTGAATCAATAATTGATTTACTTAAATGGTATTAGTTTCAAATCAATACAACAAAAAACTTAGACAAGTAATTTTGCTGCAGCCTTTTTCTCTTTATCAAATGATTCATTTTATAAGAATAACCTTGTATGTAGTAATATATGTTATCTACACTATCCTCTATACCTTTCATTTAGTAATATGATTAAACTTATACTTCAATGATTTCTTGATCTGATGATAAGAAGAATCAACTGTGAGAAGTAGTTGAATACCTCTGTGCTTAGCTTTGGTTAGTTTTATTTTGTTTTTTAGGACAGGCTATTTTTTGTATGTATCCATATTAAGAGAATTTTACTTTATTAAATAATTTTTTAGTAAGAAATAACCAGTTATGATGTATATAATTTCGTTTTGGGTATGATATTGCATAGGATCAAGACAAGCATTGTTTCTTGTTGGCTTAGAAGCAATAGTTCTATCTTCCATTGTTTAATATAATTAAGAAAACAAATAATAGTTCCATTGACTTAAAACGAGTCTTACAGATTGTAAAAGGTGATTTATCATGGTAAGTAATCCAAACCTGAGAATAACAGGATTATTTTGATTAAATCCATATTTGCCTACATGTATTTACAGAATATTTTGTTTTTCTATTAACGATATAATTTGAATCGGGTAATTGTGTAAGAAAAAATAACACAAGTTATGAACATTTAGAGAGTGTTTAAGGAACAAACATCATGCAGTCGATATTACAAAAAAGGAGTCGCCATCCCCGCAAGGTCGATGGCGTGTGCTCCCCACCCAAGAAATTTTATGCCTCTCTTCTGAAAAACAGTGCAAACAAAATTAGAACTAGAAATATTGTAGATCATGTACTATTATGATTGCTGTGGTCTTTTCCTTTGTTTGAATGTTACTCCTAATCGAAAACACATAGAAATATGATTTTCTCAAACATTTTGATGACTTGTGACATATAACCTCTTTTTGGATGGCCCTGTATTCTCATGTTCTGGAACCCTTTAGTATAATTAAACAGAACTTACCAGGTACCTTTCATTCACCAAACGAGAATGAGAGGAAATATATAAGAATGTTAGAAGTTATGAGCTGGTTACAAGTTTATATCCTTAGTCCATGGTACAGATCTATTTTTATTAAATAATTAACATCCGCTTGAAACTTCGCAAATAGTTTCATCTCATCGTTACCTACAAATATTTTATATACGAAAATTATCGTAATTGGAAGTGTTTTCAATCTGGAGATCTCCATCCAAATCTCGTAAATACTCATTTGCTTTCCACTTTAATCGTAAGATAATTTGGGCAAGTCGAAAAAAAAAGGTGGCCTTAAAAAATATTGAGCCATTTAGCGTGACCTTCCTTCCCAAATTGTTTGAAGAACACCTTTTTTTTTCGACGAGCACAAATTATCTTACGATACAAGTGGAAAGCTAACGGGTATATAGAACCTTATTTAATAGACAAAGTTTGCGGAACTCCATATTGAAACCCCCCCCCCAATTCCGAGAATTTTGGTAAATAAAATATTTGTAGGTTACGATGAGCTGAAGCTATTTACGAAGTTTCAAGCGGATTTTAATAATTTGATAAATAGGGGTCTATACCACGGACTTTGTTCTTGGCCCCAAAGATTTTTCTATTCCCTCTTTATATCTTTATAACCATATTCCTCAAGTACATTATCTAATAATTATGAAAATCGACACACTGTTTACATGAAGACTGTTCATAACTCAAGATAAACATTTTCATTTATTTTATTTTGTTCTCCTAGCCCCGAATCTAAAGCATTAATCCGGCCCTGTGAGACTTAAAATCATGAAATCTCAGGGACAGTGTTGCCGTTTGTACGAGTATCATCGTATTTGTACGAGGTTATGACGTAATGTACGAGATACGAAGATCGACCGGCCTTGTACCTTGTACATGATTTTTGCTGACGTATGCAAAGTTAAATTATTTATTAATTTATATTATATGCAATTTGCGGCTGCGCATCTAGCAAATTTGTTGTATTTATATTGACTGATTTTGTTTTTATCGATATAGTAGGTCTGTTGACTATTTTATTCTTAATATGCGTTGTTCAGGTAACAGGGAGCAGGAGATAGAAAGTACCAGAGGATTGGAGTGATTTTGGGCTAAAGTATAGAATGTAGTGTATTTGTTGTGAATGTAGGATTTTTCTGTTGGGATGTTTAAGTATTATTTGAGATGTACCAAGGTGATTTAACAATTTTTCGTAAAATTTTCGATTGTGATGTTCGTATTTTGTTTATGTGTGTTTTTTTTTGCCGAACCCCAAAGTTCTTCCCCATATGTCCGTATTGGTCTCAGTAAGGTGTTGTAGATCAGTCGCTTGTTTCGTAAGTTAAGTTAAGATCTGTAGTCCCGAAGATGTGAAAGTTGGCTATATCGTCTAGTAAGTTCTTGTCTTTTTAATTTCGTATGTATGTTCCAGGTAAGTCTTTTGTCTAAGTAGATTCCGAGATACCGTACATAGTTTTTTGAAGGCATTGGGTAATTGGCAACCGTTATGGGTGGACACGAGGCTTTCCTAAGAGAGAAACTAACGTGGGTGGATTTATCATGAAGATGGTTTTGTAGGGCAATTGATGAGGATTTTTGTGTGAAGATAGAATAGCAATGTCGTCAGCGAAGCAATAAATGGTGGTATTAGGGTGCTCAGGAATATCGGAAGTGTATATAGAATAGAGGATTGGGCTTAATAGAGGGGGGGGGGACCTTGTGGTACGCCTTTGTGTTGGGGAAAGAAGGAAGAGACAGAAAAATCTATTAAGAAAGTAGGATTGAAGAATTAAAAAATAAGTGGAAGGTAAGGGAAGACTAAAATTGCTTTGCACATTAATGGAATAAACTTATCTAGAAAATCTATATTTGTCAGTTTCTAGATTAAGTGCACAGAAAACGCATATTTTAAGAATAATTAGATAACTTTATAAAATTAACAAATGAATATGATAATTTATTATGCACTATAATCTTATCTATATTTTTTTAGTGATTAGAGGAAGCTATACACCAAAGGGGCTTTAACCGAGCCAGTCTCGGAGTTTGAGCTCATCCCGATACATTTTCTATTTTTTGTAATTTTTAAATCTCCCCGAAAATATCTGATGATTTCGTTCACTCATTTGTTGATTTACGCTTCGAGTTGCCTGGTGGCAGAGGTGCAGTCCGTTGTCATACAAGGTATGTTTACTTTAATTACAACAATGTTGCGTAATTCTAACGCCTTACGCTTGTGTGCGATAAGAAAGAGTAGTTTTATTATAGCTAATGTAATGTTAACTACATGTCCTTCTAATTTAGGTTATTCTCATTTTATTAAAATAGATTTATTTATATGAAAATATGGATACGGATTTAATTATTCTATTAATAATATTGGATTGCCAATTTTTTTTTCGGCACCATATCATGTGTCATATTGTAACATTAAAGATGAGAGGCCAAAACTACAAATTTTCATCATCATACAATATCAATTCACATCATCATGCAACAACTAGTATAAAAACATCACTCACACTCTAGCATCAGGAATTATAAACAAAAGAAACAACAAAAATCCTATGTTTTACTTAAACATAATTTTTCATTTATTATCTTGAAGTTCTGGCAATGACCAGATTCTCTACTCAAGAGAGGAGTGTATGTGGCTAAAGCGCTCTTGCTCAAACTCCCCTGGCTTTAGCCACCAGTGACGCGGTTGAGAGAGTAGTGCAGGGATCTCTTGGAGTCCTGCTGGATATTTACGGATAAGAACATCACTAAATTAAACCAGAACTTTAAGGAAAATGTATCTTGTATCTTTATTTGGATACGGATGTTATCCTTCGATAGTTTCCCTAATGTCCCTTCTATAGTTGAAGGGAGAAGCCTGGGCTTGGGATTCTCTGCCTGATTGTATATATTGTGTATAGGTATGACTGTGTTTTTATCTTTTTAATTTACTTATATTTAGGTTATTTAATTTTTATTGTGTTCACTATAATTATTGTCCACGAGACAGATTATTATATGTCTAAATAAATAACTAAATAATATCATTCATTAACTACCTAATAAATCGACAGCTATGCTTCAAAAGCCTGGAAGAACAATTTTATTGGAATGAACGGTTTTGAGATTTTCATATCAATCTTTGTCTTCTGTATATTCAAAAATTCTGACTAATATACTTATTTGAAGTGTTTCATCTTCGTTTCAAGCATGTAAAAATAATAAATAAAAGACTGAAAATCTGAAATTAATTATAACCAATATGCATTTTTGTCTATCGAGTATATTTATTTTTTGCACTTAAAAGCTTTTATAACATAGCTGTCGAAATATTAATTCATTATTTGATTCGTTAGCTATGGTGGACCTGGACAATGATTCAGAAAACCTTCTAACAGCTTTGATAAACAAAGTAGATGGGTACATCGATCCTAAAGTCATCGATTCGAAAAATGTAAGATATTTGTTTTATATTCATATTATTTAATTAATTACATAATTGTTGTTTGTGATTCATTTTCTATAAATTTTAATCCTGAAAAAAAAATTATTCTGTCCAGGCCACACAAGAACTGGCATATGCTCTTCTCAGACTGGGACCTGTAGTTAGCATCAGTGGTAACATTACAGACGAAGCAAGAGGGTTCACGCTCAGATTTAGTCTTTCTGCACAAGCAGAAACCTTGGTCAAGAGGTAATTGTGAAAATTGGTTATGTAATAATATATTATATGAATCATAATATATATTAATAAAAGTCAAATCTCTGAAGAGGTACTCTGTAACAGAATTGTACCTGAGGAAATCTAATGTAGCGGCGAAGTAATAAGATAGATGCACGGCGAGTATGAGAGAAAATAATTATCCATGTTCTGTTATCCATGCATAGCGCAGGGAATCACATAACTGATGAAAGAGAATTTTTTTTCTCGGTGAATGGTTCTTTTGGAAATACTTTCCAGCATTATCAAATCGAACCAGTCAAAAATAACAAATTAGTTCGCTCAATGTCCTGGATGGAGGTGGGAAAAATCGCGAAGGTCCCTCCTTGTATGAAACTAGTACATTGAACTAGTTTAAAAACAGCTGATGGTGTTGTAAGATCATGTGAGCCATACTCATCACATTGTAGATCACTAGCGGATATAGCCGGGGGGTTATTCAAACTAATTTCTTCCACTTCACTTATTTTACTGTTTAATATATAATGAGATAAATTAATAAATACACAAAGCTGTAAATAACCTACTAAAAGTTAATTGTTTTTTGGCGGAAATAGCGAATAGCCTTCCGCTTTTATATCGGAGAACTAGGTTATTTACGAGATAATTAAAACAAAATCTCGGCACTGGATATAGACTTTTTGAGGGTGTTTAACCGTCGTTGGGAATTCGGAAATCTAATACCTTTTGTGACACTGAGTGAGAAAAAACAATAAGAATATATATTTGAAATGTGGGACTTAGTAAATACACTTTGAATGAATTGGCTCAAGTTGTTTGTTATTCTTCAATCGTGAGGCATATAGGATAACTAAATAAATAAATGACTTTTCACTCCTGTATAACAAAATGATTTATTTCTACAACTGTAATAAATTGACTCTAATAAAGTGTTATAACTATAAACTTGATCTTCTAAATCTTGTAGACTCTCTTCCCAGGTATGTGTTCCGCCTCAATGTCTCAGCCTCCAGTGCCTGGCGTCGTCTTCCAGCTGCTGCTACCTGACTGGAACTTTTTCCTTCTTCATCGATTATTTATCGATATGAGATTTTCCAATGAGCGATTTGTCCACTGCACGATTGAGTACAATTCACAGTGCAACCTCACATTCCTATATATTATATATTCCTTCTCATTCCCTCACCCAATGTCATATAAAGGAGTAAATACCGGGGGATGTCTACTACAAAGCGGTACATAAAAAGAAAGTTAATATAACAAAAATTTCCCTTTCCTTCCTTTTTCAACCCCCAAAAAAGTTTGTACCCGAAAATAACACTATATCTAGAAGAAGATAAAGGGCTAAGTTGACTTGGATCCATTACGAGGAACTGTTCGAAACTTTAATGGTTTCATCACATCCCACTGGCAATTCTACACACAAAAAACTTAACGATAAAAAAAATTAGTTCGATCACGTTTCTCTGATTCAGCAGAACCACAATGCCATATGTGATCTCCTATTAGCAACCTGATAATCTCAAAATTACGAGTTCGAATCCCAGTGCTGTGGACATTTAACTGTTATATTGCTCTCCTGCCATCTCCCCTGTCTCAGGCAAAAACAGCCAAAAACGGAAAGTAGGGAACAAATTGGAAAGTAGGAAGTAGAATTATTTAAAGGAAGGAGGTAGATACAAAAAGATAAATCAGTTTAGGATCTTTTTACTTAGCTTACTCTGTTTATATTTTAATATACTTACTGTTTATAATTTTTTGTCTAAATATTATGTAACTTCCACAATTCTCTATCTTTTTGTATCTTGTCCGTTCTATCCCTGAAAAAGACCTGCAAAGTCGGGTCGAAACGTTGGCTTTTAATAAAATAGTTTTGCCACTATTCAGCCTATTTATGACCGCCACCTCGGACCATCTCCTTCCTTTATAATGCAACGGTCAACTATTAAATATTCAATAGAATTATTTAAATTTTAAATTATTTTATATTAAACTTTGTGTGGTCTGTTTAAAGTTGTTTTTCTTGTTCCCCGGTTTAAAAAGTCCAAGCTAATTGAAATCTCAAAATATGGTTTGCTTTAAAAAATTATAACCACATAAAAAACTCCAGCCAAAAAGCTCCTTATTCTTGAATCCATTTGTGCTTTTTGAGTACTCCTGATTTTTCTTTCTATGCATTATAGAAATATGTATAGAAGTAATCGAACAAAATACATACTGATCTTAAACATGAAATAATACCATACAAATTCAATAACACGAGATCTCAGATAACCAAATTTATTATTACCGTCGAATCTTTAATCACTTTACATCTTACTCCATCATATTTCCGCATTATCAGTAACATTATCGAATTAATGGCTCTTTGCATTAGCTGCAAAGATACTGCAGTTTCATTATTATCCAGTAAAACACCTGTAACATTCACAAACTATATTATAATGTATGCAAATAAATGAAGATAAAATATTAAAATTAGAATTATTTTAAATAATTTATAAATTTAGAAGACAGAGGGATTAAAACTACATTTGTTAAGTATCTTTTTTTTTTTACCAGCATTGGATTATTTATGTTACTTTAACTCTTCTTATCCACCGATTTCTTCCTTTGTTTATATTTCTGATCGTTGCAGGTCTGTTGCTGTTGTTGATGATGATGAGTTAGATAATATCGAAATAACTGGAAGTGAAGGAGGAATGCTACAACCTTTGGTCACCGTTCTGGAGCCATACCTCGTCAATGCGGCATCCATAGTTTTCAACGGTGTCATGAGCAACATGATCGCCAACTTCATGCACGAGCTTTCTCTTTTAAGTAGCACTAATCTGTGTTAAATATCCAGTTGTTATCCAGATAAAAAACTTTTTAAACTTATTCGTATCTTTTTAGTCATTTCCTATCCCACCCACTTCTTAATAACAGCTGCATACAAATATATATGGTTTTATTTCGAATTTTATTTTATGATTAGTGATTGGAGTCCTAGTATGTAATGAAAATTGGTATCCAGAATTTTAAGAAATTCTCGTAAGGACCATATTGTGAAATGGGGGAAAATCTTCAGCATTGGGAACATGATAAGTATTTAGAATTGTGGGAAAACGGAGTATTAATATAGATGTAAATATCATTAAAAAAAAAATGTATGTAGAATAGAAAATAAACTTTATTCTGGGGAGATGTCTCCTTAAAATAACAATAATGAACAGTTACAAAAGAAAAAAAATACATAGTTGGCCAAACATTAACTTAATAAAGATTCAAACAATATATACAACTTAAATAATATTATGTAAATTACTAAAACATAAAATAAAATCTTCTCTATATTTATAAACTAAACAATATTTATAATTTTACTGGAAAAAAATGACAAAAATAAAAAAAGAATTACATGTATAGAAAGAAAAAGCAAAAAACCTTCAGAAAAAAAAAATATCAAAATTACGTTAATAAAAAAGATTGACTTATGTTAAACCCCAAACAGCTAAAGCATACAAAATATATACATTTATTAAAGATATAATAATGAGAGATGAGCAACGGGATCACACCAGAAAAAAAAAAAATGATTTGAAGAAAATGAATTATTTATATATGTTATACAATACGCAATGGTACTGTGAACTATAAAAAAACAAAAAAAAAAAAAACATGGAGAATAAAATAGGATAAGATATATATATATATCCTATTTTATTCTCCGTGTTTTTTTTTTTAAAATTATCCTTGTTACATAATACAGAATTAACCAGCGCCTGATTGGATTGTGAAGAGGAATTGGGGTAAGAGAGTTTTGAATGTGGATGACTGCAGAACCATCCGAATCCTCGCGTTTCAAACCTTGCTTCCTCCTCGATCCCTGATAATCCTCCGAGGCGTCTGAAAAGAAGATGGCCTCGGAACCTTCTAATATAGAACTTTAATTTGAGTTCTACCACTAGCGGATCCAGGATTTAATTTGGGGGGGGGGCTTCAGCCCGAAACCTTTTTTTTTCACAAAAATAACGATAATTACTTTGGAAAAACAGAAAGAAACTAACTACCTATATGAAATGGTGTTTAAGTTATTCCTTAAGTACTTTTAAATGTAATTATACGAAAAATAATACTTTAAGAGGTATTTTTTAAATTTTTTTCCCATAAAACATGGTTATATTTTTCCATTTTGGGGGGGGGGGGCTTCAGCCCGAAAGCCCTCCCCGTAGATCCGCCCGTGAGTTCTACCAATGGGTAGTTTCTCTTCATGTTGTACATCTCATGTTACCAATGTCACATTTACTTATTGCATTTTCCATGTAATACAGTTGTAAATCTCAATAAAATAAAATTAAAAAAAAAAAAAAAAAAGAATCTGGATGAGGATGGTGCATGGCGGATTTTAAGTGGGATGGAATTCCAAAAGGTGGAGGAGCGGACAATAAAGGAATGTTGAAATGAAGCAGATCTATGGAAAGGGGTGTAAAGGTCAGAAGGCATCTTCTTGTGGAGAGGGAGTGGACAGATGATTTCAATTGGAGGAGATTGTGTACATAGGAAGGGGGATGATTGTTGATTATTTGATGAAGGAGTGTGCCAAGGAAGTATTGTCTTCAGAAGGAGGGGAAGAGCCATCCTAACTGGGCATAGTTGTGCGAAACACAGTGGACGGGGTGGCCGAATGGGCTAAAGCGTGTGCACTGCACCGCCGTTGCCTGACAACCTGACATATGAATCAAAAGATATAAAAATAGTCACGAGTTCGCGTCCCAGTGCCGGGGGTGTCTTTTAAATCCCCGCTCACACTACCTGGCCCGGGAAAATCCCGTATAGCCTTAACGGCGAGGAAGGGAAGGACACAAAAAAAAAAAAAAAAAAAAAAAAGTAGTGCGAAACACGGCATACTTAGCTATTCATATATATATGTGTATATATATATATATATATATATATATATATATATATATATATATATATATATATACAGGGTATTTCGTAATTGCACGGCACTATTTTAGGTATGTGTTCACTAACACAACATTAAAAAAAAAGTTCATATTAACATATATCTCATGCTCATTTATTAAACAGATATTAAAATAAACAGTTAGGATATATAAAGATTTGTTATTTATTTACTACATTAAGACTGACTGTACAAATTTTAACGTGTTTAATACTAAATAACAGGTTTTAATCACCTGATAAACAAATGAACGATAAGCAATGAACGTTGTGGCTCATCTGTTTGTCTAGTTCTGTGTGTTTTAGTGTGAGTGAATACTGTGACAGAGTTCAATTTATGATTATCATGGGAGAAACCATAAATTTATCCACTTTTGCAGAACAAACAGACATGCTTTTAATTTATGGCGTGGTACATAGGAACATTGATGCTACTACTCGAAGATATCGTGAAAAATTTCCTAATCGAAGAATACCAAATCGTAAAACGTTTGAGGCAATTGAAAGACGCTTTAGGGATAATGGCACGCTAAAACCTTTACGAGTAAACGCCGGTCGACAAAGATTTCGACGTACTGCAAATGCTGAAGAAGAAACAGTCGATGCTGTTCAGTTATCTCCTACTACTAGTACCAGAAGGCTGTCACGTCGTTTCGATGTTTCCTCTACCAGCGTATGGGGAACTTTACGCGAAGAATAATTATATCCATTTCACGTATCGAGTAGAAAAGACTTGTTACCACAAGATTATAACTAGCGGAGAAATTTCTTCCCAGTGGTTAATCCGACAATGCGCACGAGATCCTAACTTTCTGAACTGCATTTTTGGTTATTGATGAATCTTGCTTTACAAGAAGCGGGATTATTAATTTTCGAAATACCCACAATTGGGTTAAAGAAAACCCTCATACGACTGCTGTTGGACATTACCAACATACTTTTTCTTTAAATGTCTGGTGAGATCTTCTTTTTGCCACCTAGGCTGTGAGGTATATCTTACTTGCATTTTTTGCAAAATAATCTTCATGAATTCCTAGAAGATATCCCGCTAGGAATTAGGCAAAGATTATTTAAATGCAACTTATGGAGAACGATGGGTTGGTCGAAACAGACCTGTTAAATGGCCACCACGATCTCCGGATTTAACGCCATTAGATTATTTTCTGTGGGGCTGGATGAAGTCTATGGTTTATTCTGCGGCAGTTGTCACGCAAGAAGAGCTAAGAAATCGGATCGTGGACGCCGCAATAACTATCAAGCACCATCCTGAAGCTATACGAAGAGCCAGAGAAACATGGATTCGTCGTGCTGAATGTTGCATTCAACAAAACGGATGCCCCTTTGAACAGTTACTCTAAATGTTGTAATAATAATATATAAATAGTAATAATATAAGTAATAATATATAAGTAAGTGTGGTATCAGAAACTATTGTCTGAAGAGATTGACTTACCAGTGAAGTTCTGTACCGGTACGACTCACTTAATAAAGAAAGGAAGCAAAAACAGGCTGGAGCCACAGGATTTGAGACCCATAACTTGTCTTAATGGTGTGTACAAATTACTAACGGCTGTAATCAGGAATAAGTTGACAGATTACATTGAGGAAAAGGGTATTATGGCAGCGGAACAGTTAGGTATTAAGGCAGGTTCAGAAGGTTGCAAAGAACTTCTGATTATCGATTCTTTTATTGCTGCTCAAGTTACAAAAAAATCTCGTAATATTACATTGTCTTGGATCGACTACCGTAAAGCCTTCGATTCGGTTCCCCATGATTGGCTTCTGGAAGTGTTGAAAATCTATAAAGTAAACCAGGCAATAATAGATCTATTAGAACGACTGATGAAAATTTGGAGGGTCTTAATCAGCACACCAACTTTGAATGAAATGAGTTCCAATGAATACATATCTATAAAGAGAGGTATTTTTCAAGGGGACTCCCTTAGTCCTCTATGGTTTTGTTTGGCGCTTAATCCACTTAGCAAATTATTGGCTGATACAGATAAAGGGTACCCACTTAACTCTGAAATGAAGCTTTCTCATTCATTCTATATGGATGACCTCAAGCTTTACGCTAGGAATGAAGACGAAATGGAAGCTCTTCTGAAGACAGTAAGAACGTTCAGTAATGATATAAAAATGGATCTAGGAATAGATAAATGTGCAATAGTACACGTGAAAAGAGGAAGAGTTATTAAGGGGAGTAATATTGAGATATCGGAAAATGTAATAATGAATCAATTGAGAGAATCTGATTCTTACAAGTACCTTGGAGTACACCAACTTCTGAAATTCAATGCTAATTCAAAGAAAAACTTTGAGGAAGAATTTAAATACCGTGTTAAATTAGTACTTAAATCACATTTAAGTGGAAGAAATTTGATACGGGCATTGAATACCTGGGCAATACCTGCTTTAGCCTACTCATTTGGGGTACTGAAGTGACCTAAAACCGATTTAGAAAGGTTGGATCGTTTTCTTAGAGTACAGATGGTGCTTTCAAGGAAGAGGCATCCAAAGTCATCTGTAGTGAGATTGTATCTTCCTAGGAAATCGGGAGGGCGTGGTCTAGTCAGCCTCTTGAATTTATGCCGAAAGGAAGAAAATAATCTTCGCAACTACTTTATAAACCATACTTCCAATATCCTTTCAACTATCGCATCATTAGATATAAATTATACAGCTTTGAATTTACGAAGCCCTGGAATCCCGATTAGTGAAGCAGATGATGGCACTCGATCAGAAATATGGAAAAATAAACCTTTACACGGACGATTTTATCACTCATTAATGGATGTAGGAGTGAACGCTGAGGCGTCATTGACATGGCTGAAGAGTGGAAGTATCTTTCCGGAAACAGAAGGATTCTTGTTTGTTATTCAAGAACAGGTAATAGCCACAAAAGCATACAAAAAACATATATGTGGAGAGGCCATCGATGACTTATGTCGCTTATGCAAAAAGGCAGTTGAATCAATTAAACATGTAACATCGGGATGCACAATACTTGCGGGTAAGGAATACTTGCAGAGACACAACAATGCAGCTAAGGTAGTGCATCAAGCTATGGCTCAGAAAATGGAACTCGTCGATAAGTATTGTCCGTATTATAAATACCATCCAGAACCAATTAACTCCATGCGCAATGTCAAGGTGTTCTGGGATCAACCGATCCTGACGGATCACACCATCCCCCACAATAGACCAGACATTCTTATAATAGATAAAGGTAAGCAATCTGCGTTTATCATAGAGATTGGAGTTCCTTCTGATGATAACCTGCACAAGGTAGTAGCGGAAAAAAAGAGAAAGTACGTAGAATTGGCTGAAGAGATCAAACAATTATATCATTTGAAGGAAACCCGAATTCTGCCAATTGTAATCTCGTGCAACGGACTGATACCGGAAGAAACTATCTTCTCTGCGACTACTAGAACTACCATCTCAGACGATCGAAAGAATGCAACAAGCGGTGTTGTTGGGAACAGCAAATATTGTCAGGAAGTTCACAAATATAAAATAATTAAGAAAATATACAAATGTAATTTTTGGCTGACTTAATAGGTCCCCAACTATTACATTATTTAAACACCATTGTATATGTCAAAAATAAAGAGAAAATAATAAATAATAAATCTTTTACCTTTGATATCTGTTTAATAAATGAATTTGAGATATATGTTAATACGAACTTTTTTGTTTATTTTGTGCTAGTGAACACATATACCAAATATAGCTCCGTGCAATTACGAAACACTCTGTATATATATATATATATATATATATATATATATATATATATATATATATATATCTACGTAAATACTAGAAATTTTTTATAGGAGTGATGGCAGATCTCTTGAACTTCAAAAAAGTTCATATAAACAATAGGCCAATTTTCAGCAGAAAATAGCAAATCACAGTTTTGTATTCTTTTAAGAGAGTTGTGTTTTTTATTGGATCGAAAGCAATATCTAAAATAATATTTAATTTAAGTAATTAATAATTGCTTTATTGTAAACAAGATGAAATTTACATTAAATGAATATAGAGTTTATCATTATTATGCATGCTACTTTTCTACTGCAAATTGGCCCATTGTTTATATGAACTTTTTAGTAGCGCTTTATTGTGTGCAAATTCATGCTAATTTTTGTTTAGTTAAGTAAAGCCATGTCGAAGTTACCACAACTTCTGTTATTTAAAAAAAAAAAATTAAGGCACCAGCCTAGGCGGAAATTTTGAGAAAAAAAATTCTATTTTTCGATTGGTATGAAAATTTTCACGGGTTCTTCGAAGAACGAAATACAAATCTCAACTTTGTTTCTACTTAAAAAAATATTTGAACGTTACTCCTTAGATCGGTTCTATTTGCTTCTATATTAAACACATACTATAGTCCGTGGTACAGACCCCTTTTTGTTTGTTTGTTTCGATGTCTAGGCGCAAAACATCCAGGTCATAAGCGCCCGATCAACTAAATAACATCATTTAATACTATTTGGATGATTGGTACAAATAAAAAAAAAAAGAAATAAAAAAAAAATAATAAAAAATAAAATAAATAAAGAAATGGATTGATAGAATAAAATAAATAAATAAGGATAATAATAGACATGTATAGGTAATAAGATGTATAAAAAATGTATAAATAAATCAACTTTAAAAAATAGCAGTAGAATCAATAAATGAATTGAGATTAATAAACAAATGAATTTAAAATGAAATGAAATCAAGTGAAAAAATAAATAAATAAATAATAATAAGAGAAAATATAATAAAAATAAATAGATAAAAAAAATTAATAAATAAATAAAAAAAGCCTGTGAAATGTGTTTTTTAAGTCTTTCACTATCCAGGAATTTGATGACTTTGGTAACGATTTCTTCTTGATTTCCCAGGGATGCTGATATATTCTGGGGTATTCCAAAATCTTTTAATCTTGCGGTGTAAAAAGGGCATTCTTCCAAAATATGTTTTATAGTTAGTGATTGGTTACACTTTTGACATCGGGGGATAGAATCTTTTGTTATGAGATGGAGGTGAGTCAGTCTAGTATGTCCGATCCTCAGCCGCGTGAGGACGACCTCTTCTCTACGACTGCTGCGTCTGGAGCTGGTCCACGGTTGCACCTCTTTCTTTATTGTTTTTAATTTGCTAGGTGCGCTGTTGCCCCACCGTCTTTGCCATTCTTGGAATATGGTTTCTCTCAGAGGTCGTGCAAGTTCAGATGGTGTCAAAAAAACTTTACCGCGGCCTGGAAGAGTAAGAGCTTCCTTTGCTGCTCTATCAGCCATTTCATTTCCTTTAATTCCTATATGGCCAGGCGACCAGATAAAATGTGCCGTTGTTCCAACTCCATGAAGCATTTTTATAAGACTTAGAATGCAGTGTATCCCTGGATGGTCTGGATACATGTTATTCATAGCTTTCAGAGTACTTAGGGAATCCGATACAACGACCACATTTGCAACTGGCTTCTTCATGACTATCGGAGACTCATTGCAACGGCGTTAATCTCTGCTGTGTAAACAATACAAAGATGGTGTAATTTATATTTGTAGGTAGTATCAGGAGTGACAAAGGCTGAAGCAGTAGATGTATCTGATTTGGATCCCTTTTTATCGAATTATTAACATCCGCCAGAAACTTCGTAAATAGTTTCATCTCACCGTAGCATCCAACTATTTTATTTACGAA